TTCCTTCCACACCCCTTCACGTGATACCGCCCTAATCGTGATCATCATTATTATTATTTCTATCGATTACTATTATCATTATTAATATTATTATTTCTATGATTATTAATATTATTACTATTATTATCATCATGATACCCAATCCAATATACAGTTATAGTTTTACCCGATTCAAGCGGACCGTTTTTACACGGTCCCCGAGACAGATTAGGGAAACCGAGAGACACAAAGGACAAATTACATTCGTCGTTACTCTCTATTGTATGTAATAATGGTTTTTATTCTAGCTAGCATTTGGAGTGAAAGGGCACACACCACGTATACACGCGACATATACAAACGAAAACACACAGGCATACAACGCGACTTCTAAACGTACATGACACACGCGACATCCACGTACGAATACACAGACACACATACACACATACATACACACACGCATACTTAGATTCGAGAAGGATTATGACTGCGTATATAACACAAACTCTTCCACGGAGCGTCGTAAAAAATTTATGCGGAAATTATTTTTTGTATCGAATCGTGAAGAGAGAAAGAGGAAGAGCGCGAGAGAGAGCGAGCGAGAGAGCGAGAGCGAGAGAGAGAAAGAGAGAGAGAGAAAGTGAAAATGAGAATGAGAGAGCGAGCGAACGAGCGAGAGGGAGAGAGAGAAAGCGAGCGAGACCGAGAGAGAACGAGAAAGAAAGAGTGAAAAATAAAGGGGAAACACGCGGCTCCACTACCGTTTCCCTTCGACCTGTGTATGTAGGGAAATACATAAAAATGGTGCTCGTTCGTGTACGTTGAATTGTAATTTCCCTGCCACGCGTCGGCGACGCTTCGCGGAACGGTCGCGAACAAAATAATAATATATTTATGGTACGTTAACGAATTCGATTTTTCCAGAGGAGTACGTGACCCGATAAGAATTGTGCGAGAGAGGCAGAAGGCCTTCTGCTGCCCGGTTTTTAGCATAACTCTTTAAACGGATAAGAAAGGTCATTAATAGTGTAAAAATACATCAATATTTATTGTACATAGATCTAAAAAAAAACTACTAACAAATAAAAAGAAATCAAAAATATATATATATGTATGTATATGCGTGTGTATATATATATACATATATATATGCGTATGGGATCATTCCTAAAGACTTGTTGCGCGAGAGAAACGGTCTTCCGTGCGATTTTTTCCTTAACACTTGTGGAATTTTCGTGTCGTTTCCTCGTCGTGTCCGCTATCTTCTTCTCCTGAACGAAACATATAGATACAGATCTCGATTCTCGTCAGAAGAGACGCTCGATAATCACCTCGATTTTCTAGTCTTTCTTCTACTCCCTTCTCGCCTCTTCTTCTCAGCGTTCGCCAGATCTATGTACTTCTTCCTTTGTTCCGGAGTCATTTGCGTCCATAATCTTCCAGCAGTCCTCGCGATCACTGTCACATGCTCCTTCGGTTTCTTGCTGCGTAACCGAAGGAAGAAAATTAAGAAGGGATTCGTCGTCCGACATCTGACCGTCCCCTTCGGTCTCGGCCTGGCCACGCAACCGTTAGTAGCCCTCTTCTTCGTGTTCCTCCCAGGTCGGTCATCTGCGCTACCCAGAATGAAGAAATGTCACCTGTAAGTGAAATAATCGCTCCGGGAAGAAGCCCGGGTCCGACCGGAAACGAGCTTGAAATTGCCTTACCCGTCGTTGGCTTCTTTCCTCCGGTCCTTCCGTGTCCTGGACGGCTGCGAGGATCCGGTGTTTCCCATTTTCTCGAGTATCTATCGTGCGAACGGCATTACTTGGTAATTTATGTCTCTTTTTTTGTGTGTTTGGAGTGGGAAAGCCGTGAAGAGGACCGTGGCCGAAATGAGATTGACGGGGGGCTGCCTTCCCTTGTTTCCCGAGCGAAACAAGAGAGGGAAGATAAATGCCCGATCACGAGAAAAACCGTGCGAGGTCCTTGAAAGGTTTCAAAATTTATAGAAAACCGTTAAGTGAAAATTTCGTATTGGTTAGAAGGGTGTACACAGGAGTAGAGCACTTGAAATTACATCCTTTATTCATATTGTATAAAAGGTACTTAACACGCTATCGACATCGCGATTTAACATTTGGTTGACACGTTCACTGCCACGAAAAAAACATCAACGTTCTACGTATCACTTACACCTCCGTAACAAAGATAAACGGAAATAATTATTAATTATTTACTACCACAATTCTTACGTTACAATACTAACTAGTTATTTACGTCATTGAATATTTTTATTTGACGTTAGTTTTCTTATGAATTACAATTCTTTTCGAGTCATTTAGAAAGTTCCGGTCACCAGTGACCACCGTGGCGGTTAACGTGCGTTAACAGAGGAACAACGAAATAGAGAATTCCACCGCGTTTGTTTCGTCCCTATGAGATTCGCGTCGAGATTCTATAATTTTATAATTCTCCACCGGCGTGGGCGGCCTTCTTAGGTTTCTTGTTCTTGCTCCATTTGTCGCCGCAATAGCAAGCCTCCTTTTGCGCGTCCATGTAACTCTTACACCCTAAGGTTGTCGTCCCCGTGAACAGCATTTTTGCAGCCGCCTTGCACGTGTTTATCACTGTCGCCGTTTGATACCCTTCGCAGTATTTGTACAGGCATCTTTTGAATTCCAGATCACACTTCTCCTTGTCCATGTTGCAGGTGTCGTAGCAAATGTCGTGCGCATCGCAACACTTCGTCATTTCCGCGAGCGGTAGGTACTCTTGATTTATCTGTCAGAATAATTGAAAGTTACAATAATTATTACATCGAGTTGACTCCTTGACATACTATTTACTTTCGCTACTAAGCTCGTGTAACATTTTACTGTCGACATTTTGAAGGAAATGCAACAAAATTGACCGTTTTACTTCAGCTGGAAATCTCATTTGAAGATAATAAATTGATATTAGTAAAATAGTGGTTTTCTTTGATACGTGGGTAATGAACAATATTGATTGTTATTAAATTGGTCTAAAAATCTTCATTGCGAGTCTCACTCGTCATTGTACGGCAAGGGGTTTACACTAGAACTACCAAATGGGTCAGAATGACCCGTTCTTGATTTCTTTTATAATTACTGGGAAGATACAAATGCTTCTCTGAAAAATCGTTAAAGAAGCTGATTTATTGACACCTACACTGAAATATAAGTCAAATCTCAATGAATAGAGAATTATGTTTTATAAGGAAATTTGGAAAAGCCAGTTTAACCCTTTGCATTTGACAATATTTTTCATTACAAACATTCATTATTTTCTGACGAAATATTAACAATATTATTTGCAACTTACATAAAGAAACATCTTGCGTAAATTATGAGGTAGAATTGTTTTATTTCTATGTTCCATGTGTTAATACCTTATTCAACATTTTACATTGAATTCTTAAATTAGTGTTGACACACTTTGCACTAGAGAGGCGACTCTCAGTCGCTTAATCATTTGGTAGAGTAACGTTATAAACTTTGGTATCTATCATTAACCTTTGTATACTGCATCAATACATGAAACATTGAAGGAAAATAGCTTTTTCCCATAATTTACGTGTGATTGCTCGATAAAGTAATTTGAAGAAAGGATCGCCTGCGTCTAATTAGAAAATATTGAATATTCATAGTGAAAATCTTTCGAGAGCAAAGGGTTAAATGATCTAGGGTCAAATCGAAATTCGAGTAATTTTCCATACCTCTATGCCCAGAGAACCGCATCCATTGCTCTGCGGTTTGTGATTCCAGTCTGGTTTCGGCGCGATACCTGAAATTACAAAATATTCCCGCGGTTCGAATAAAAAAATGTCGACCAATCGGGTTCGGCCATGTCACCGATCTCGCGTCCCATGCCGTCTTGTTTCTTAAAACATTTCTTTTCCTTCGATTATACTCATTTTTCTCGCTAGATTCGACATTGTTGGATTTTTAAACATTACATAACGCGTTTTAATACAACTTAGAAATAGTTCGTTTATATAAGCTGAGCGATCGGTCGTGTTGTCAGTGTGTCAGCTAGTCCGACCAATGGCAGCCCGACCGTGAATTGTGCAGCAGCTTTAACGTATCGTCAGAAATGTTAACGACGCACGACACGATGACAATAGGTTAATTGCGTACCTCCTGGACACTGGAAAATGCAATTTTCTTCCACTGCAGCGTCGAACACTTCATGTATGTCCTTAATCTTTTTCGCAACGGTGATCGCATTGTGAAATAAGTCCCCGAAAATCGATTCCGCGGACAAAACGGCATCTCTCAGGTTGGCTAGCAAACCCGTACCATAACCGGACCAAGCATATGCTAGGAAAGTTAAAACGTAAACCAGGACTTTTCGATATTGCAAAAAATCCATTGTCACAGATTCCTTACACACTGCCGACACACTGTTCCACCGGCCCGTGGATATTTTTAGGTGATTCGACTTACATAGGTGTACACAATTCCGGACACGTGGTAGCAAACGACGAAATACTTCTTCGCGATTCACTTTCGTCATGCATCATATACATATCATTACGTTTGTAACGTAGTCGTGTAAAGAACGTCGTTTTATAATACCGAAAAAAAAGACAAACAAAAAATGATGCGTTCATAGAGCAGTTCGTGAATTGATCAATATTTATTCTTTTGCATTACTGTTCAAGAAAGTGATTAAATATATTTTCATATTGGAAGGTATTGATCACAGATTCTGTTAGCAATTAAAACAGTTGAGATTGTGTACTTTAATTTTTGTAAGAAATAATCTCTTTGAATTATCAATTGCAAATTATGGTTTCAATGGTTCAAGAAATTACGCCTTTTTGAGTGTTCTAATTAACAGAATTTATTATACTAGAAATAAGGGATATCAACATATAAATAATTCTTATAGGGTGAGTGTAAGAACAGATTAAGTACATAGTAAATGCAGATTACAACATTTGCTTCAGTTCTCCATTATCGAATAACTTCTTTACATCTGTGCCACCCCCTAAACATACTCCTTTCACGAATACCCTAGGAACGGTCCTGGCAGAAGTCATTTCACCCAATATATTTTGGATTTCATCACCATCCTCCCTCTCATCCAATTCAATAGCAGTATATTTTTCCTTCAGATTATCGAACACCTGTAAATATTATTAAGGTATATATAGTAAATGAAATAGAAATACTATACATAATTATACTTAACGTAGTCAATAGTAGTACCGTTTTAGCCATTTTGCAATATGGACATTTTGTCTTCGAAAATATTACCACCTTGTCCGACTTGATAAGTTGGTTTACTTGATCCTTTGTCATGGTCATGTCTGCTTCTTTGTTGTTGGAAACTGAACCCGATGTGTCTATCTAAACAGATTGTTAATATAAAAATAATGTAATTATTGTGTAACAAGTTACAAGTTATTAAAGTATTTGAAACTTAAGGGTAGAACTGTATCACTTCTCTTGCAATCTCTGTCACAGTCTTCATAATCAGAAATGGTTTTAAAAATTATATTTGGCATAACACTAAACAAAATCGGTGATATTTTGCACATTTTAAGTTGAAAGTATCTCTTAAAAAAGGAGTACATGGTTGACAATTTTTGTGAATCAATTTATCCGTTTTAGGTTAATGATCAAACAAAAGACTCGCAAACTACGGAAAGAAACAAAATACTAACGCCTATGGTGTTTAAATATCTTATTCTAATTAAAACTATAATAACGTGCTATTGAACATCTCAAATTTTGTTTATAAAATAAATTAAACTTATTTCTTGAAGCTATTAAAAACACTTACAATCTGTTGCAGAAGCTCCGCAGTAAGAGATTCTGAAGGGGAAAGAAATTCTTCTATAATAACGTAATAAATATTACAACTTCTTAAGCATCACGAAAATGACTCACTATCTAACGTACTGTGAGATATTACTATCTCGGTTTAACGGATAAGATGTGTTACTTACTTTTTAAATTACAAGCATAAAAGTTCCAAGATCTTAATTCGTTGTGATTACTGATTCAATTTTCAATATATACTCCCAATTTCAATTTTATAAAATTGTTAATTTGCAAGTAGAAAATTGAATGTTTATTGAACCATGAATTACGTGGAGACATTCTATTCGAAGTTTCTAAAAAACATAAGTAAGGAATATTATATTTAACGTGCAGCAACGGAATAAGAAAAATGATCACATATTATAAAAACGATATTAAAATTATAAAGAGCTGTTATTTATTCTCTATTTTGTTCATTTTATTTCTTACAGTGTAACTTTTTTAACAACATTGTAGAATATACGATTGTTTAGTTCACTGACTTCTGAATAGATGGCGAAGCAATGGCAGACAAAGTACCATTTGTTGCTGGACGTCTTCATGACCCGACTAGTCGATGACTATCGTGTTGGAAGTGTTCTTTTGACACTTGACGTTACGGATTATCGAACTGTTTGTAAGGTTTCTTCGGGGTAAAAATGGTGTAAGAAATAGTGCTGTGAGGACGATGAGCAGGATCGCGAAAATGGCCTGTCCAGGTGGTGGTCTGTACGTCGTCGAGGGAGAGGTTTGTCTCCTCGTGACGGCTATGAGACGGGGTGCTCGATGGTCTTCGCATTCTCATCAGGTTAGAACATGTTGTGAATTGCTTGATTTTACAATGAAATACACCGTTTGTTTACTATTGACACAAAAAATAGTCGCGTTCGCGTTAATACGCGTGTTTGTTTAATTACCGTTATCACGTGGATTTATTTTGATTGCTGTCAAATCAGAGAAGTAGGAAACAGTATGGTATCGTTTTCAAAAGGGTGACGACAGTATTAGCGCTATGATTATTTTTCATTTTATGGCCACATTTACCAGAAGTTTGAAGGCAATTGTAAATTATTGTTTGTGATTGTTTGTAAGGATGATGATCAGGACAATCTTATGAAGGGTTTGTCTACCTTGAAAGAAGCACTGAATGAAGCAAAAGATCTGTCCCAGTTGGAACCAGGAGTGTTTCTAGCACCATTCCTAGAAATAATAAGATCGGAAGAAACAACAGGACCTGTTACGAGCCTTGCATTATCTGCTGTTAACAAAATGATATCTTATGGCCTGATTGGTATGTATAAACTTATATAAGTTAAGAATATCTATAGAACATATATATATTATGTTAATGTTAATATTGCAGATCCAGATCATCCTGCAATAGCACAATGCGTAGAAGCTGTTGCAGATGCAGTAACACATGCAAGATTTGTGGGGACAGATGCATCTGGAGACGGAGTTGTTTTAATGAGAATACTTCAGGTTCTAAGAGCTCTAACATTATCTCCAGCTGGAGATTTTCTGTCGAATGAAAGCATTTGTGAAATTATGCTCAGTTGTTTCAGGATATGTTTTGGACCACATCTAAGTGAATTATTAAGAAAAACAGCTGAGCATTGTCTGAGAGATATGGTTCAACATCTCTTTACTCGTTTACCCCAGTTCGCTGATGACACAAGAGCTCTATTGAACATGAGGAAAATGAGAACCAACAGTATGGAAAGCACTCGTAGTAAAAACAGGAGAAATAAGAGTCATTTTAAACAGAAGGTCAAACCAAATCCAGAAGATACGGATGACAGTGAAGTTCAACTTGTAAACTCTGTTGATAGAGTGAAAACAGGTCATTTGGCAACAACACCTGTTGCTCCTGCAGGAAATATTGTGGATATGCAAGGATCGTTGGAACAAGGAACTATGGAAAATGCAGAAGATGAGAAGAACGATAACAAGGAAAATGGTAAAAAAGATTTAAACGAAAAAAGTGACACTTCCAAAGAGGAAGATGTTGAAGATGGAACGAAATGTAAGGATAACGATGAGGGAACCGTACAGAGTACAAATACTTCAATGGATAAAGAACAACCTGCACAGGAGGAATGTAAAAATCCAGAAAATGAAAACGCGGATGGACAGAATCAAACGAAAGAAACGCCTGTGGTTCAACAGGAAATTCAAGGTAATTACAACTATCACGTTTTAAGTTAGTGTGGCGATTATTCGCACGCGTTATATTGCAGAAAATCAATCGGTTAGCGATGACAGGAGTCCGGAAATGATACAGTCTCCGACGGGAAGTGTAGAAGATTTATCGATAGACGAAAGTAGCAATAGTGGACAGAAAACGCCTAAGATAAAGGAATCCGAACACGTCGAGGAATATATTAATGCCCAAGGAGTTCGATTCATGTCACTTCAACAATTAGCGCCATATGGTGCTCTATGCGTCCGTGAATTATTTCGTTTTCTCGTGTCCCTCTGCAGCCCTCTTGATAAACAGAATAACGAAGTAATGACCCATTTGGGTCTTAGTTTGTTACAAGTAGCTTTAGAAATCGCAGCTGACGCCCTTTCCAATTTTCCATCGTTACTTGCTCTCGTGAAAGATGATCTTTGTCGAAATCTTATCTTGGTAAGAAAAGTAACAAATATTTACACGTTTATACGAAATTTATTCTGCAAACAGTAACTTTGACTATATTCGTTAGCTTCTTGGCACGGATCGACTGTCGATCCTTGCAGCTGATTTGCAAGTGTCGTTCCTACTGTTTGAATCACAGAGAGAACATTTAAAATTCCAAATGGAACATTACATAACGAAATTAATGGAAATCGTGTACTCTGACTCGAATAGGATATCATACGATCAACGGGAATTGGCGCTGGGTATGAACCGTTCACAGTTTCAGGTGTATTGCGTTCCAATGTTCAATGCGGATTTTACTTTCTTTGATTATAGAAGCCATTGTAAGGTTGTGGAGAATACCCGGGTTGCCCGCAGAACTGTATCTAAATTATGACTGCGGTTTATACTCGACAAATTTGTACGATGAATTAATGAAACTCCTGTCGAAGGTACATACTTTTTATCGAAAAGGTGGATAACTGAAGCGGTGACAAAATTTGCATTTAATATATTTCTGACGTTTTAGAACGCCTCTGCGATAATGGGAAGTATGTACAGTATGCAGTTCATCTCATTAGATGCCATAATTATGCTGATTTCTGGTATGGAAATCAGATGTAAAGGGTACAAAGAGTTGTGTAAACCTTCGCGTCACAGCGCTTCAGCGAATCTTCCTACGCGAGAAGAATTGCTCGCTATAAAGTCTAATAAGCGGGTACGTTTCAGTGGCTCTATTATAAATAGAACGAGCCGAATAATTCTGTGCTTCTTTTAAATACAGTGGCTGGTGGTGGGAACGGAAAAATTTAACGAAAGTCCAAGGGAAGGTATTGCTAAGCTGACGGAACACGGTTTATTGGGCGGCAGCCCAGGTAATCCCGATCCAGAGAAAGTAGCTAAATTTTTGAAAGAGAATCCCAGTCTGGACAAGAAAGCTATCGGGGAATATATCAGTAAAAAGGAAAACAAGAATATTTTAAACTGTTTCGTTCATAGTTTCGATTTAAGGAATACGCGTGTCGATCAAGCCCTACGTTTGTACTTGGAATCGTTTCGACTCCCTGGCGAAGCGCCACTCATCTCTTTGTTGCTCGAAAAATTCGCGGAACATTGGCACGTGAGTTTGGTATTCGGTTTTAGAGACGCTTATACTGCACGATGACGCGACCAGAATACACATCAAGAACCGTCTTCTATTTTCCCAGGATAGTAATGGCAAGCCGTTTGCTTCAGCAGACGCCGCATTTACTTTGGCATACGCTGTGATCATGTTAAACGTTGATCAACATAATTACAACGTGAAACGACAGAACAATCCAATGACTGCCGATGAGTTTAAAAGAAATTTGAAGAAGGTTAACGGCGGATCCGATTTCGATCAGGATATGCTCGATGAAATTTATACTTCCATTAAGTGAGAATCATTTTACATTGTCTTATTAATAGTCGAGCTTCTCGAGTAACTGATTGGTACCGTTATTAGGGGCGAGGAAATTGTAATGCCAGCCGAACAGACTGGCTTGGTAAAGGATAATTACTTGTGGAAAGTCTTATTGCGCAGAGGCGCTGGAGCTGAAAGCTTCTACCTGAAAGTTGGGAATGCCGGAGAATTCGTGGATAAGGAACTGGCTGAGCAGGCTTGGGCTCCCATCATTAGCGCACTTTGTCGAGCGTTCGATAAAGCACCCGACAGATCGTTGCAACGCCGAGTTGCCGAAACATTCCTCCGGTTAGTTGTATCTTGATAGACCGAAAATTAATTGAACGTGGAAAATAAAAGATGATCGCAACAATATCTTTTCTCTTTCGTTACAGATGTGCTTCGATAAGCGCTCATTACGGCATGAGCAGCGATTTAGACACGCTTGTGGTCAGTTTGTGTAAGTTCACAGGTCTTGCCACCGGTGGTGATCCTGATCAGGTGGTCTCGCAGCTTGGAGGGAGCGGCAAGTATCATCAGTTAGCTGCGAGAACCCTCTTTAAAATCACTCACATGCATGGGGATGCGATAAGAGCCTCGTGGAAGAACATCGTCGACTGTTTGCAGTCATTGTACAAAGCAAGGTTGTTACCAAAGAGCCTCACCGAGGGAGAAGATTTCATAGATGCGTCCGGGAAGATATCTTTGCTGCGAGAACCGGCTACGCCAAAACCACCGCCCACCGATCAAGGAATATTCTCCAGCTTGTATTCTTACATAGCACTGGATACCTCGCGCACTTCTCATCCGGCGGAAGCGACAGCTAGGAAAAGGGCCAGCGAATTCGTGGCCAACTGTTACCTCAAACAGATCATCGAGGAGAGCAAATTCTTACAAGAAGAATCCCTTCGCTCTCTCGTCGGTGCTCTGCTCTTTAGCAATCATCAGGACGAAGATGTCTCCGTATTCCTACTGGAACTTTTGTTGGAAGTAACCATTCAGAATCGCGACAGGGTAACGTGCATTTGGCCAATAGTTCAAGCGCACATGGATGGTCTATTGACGACAGCTGCAAGAGAAAATCATCCCTATCTTCTGGAACGAGTAGCAGTTGGAATGTTAAGACTGGCGATCAGATTGCTGCGAGGAGAAGAATGCGCGTGGACTGTACTACCTCCTTTGTTACCGCTAACCCATCTACCTTCAGCGACAACGGCGCCTCTCGCTCGGCAGATTGCATACGGTTTATTCGAGTTACTGAAAACTGGAGCTGCTAATATTCACAGCACAGATGATTGGAAAGTGGTGTTCAGTTTGCTAGAATGCGCCGGGGCTGGTGCATTGTCACCGAAGCAATCTAATACGGTACTAGACGAAGTAACGAATTCCAGGACGTCGGTGTTAGATCCCAGGCCCATTAGTCCTGTACCTGAATGGATGCTAATGTCACCCACGGGAACAGAAGCGCCTCTTCCAGTGGCCGCCGACACAATTATTCTCGACCGAGATCTGCAACAGCACGATCCAGCCGCCCTGATTAAGTGCTGCGAAAGCTTAACGTTTCTAGTCAGAGATGTGGCGCATGTGACCCCGTTCAACTTCGAACTGTGCATTCGTTGCGTGAGAACGTTCGCTGAGGCGGTTCTCCAATGCACAGGGAAAAGAAGCAGGATGCACAGTTCAGTAGAAGAACCAGTCGGGTATCAGCAGTGTCCTATTCAGCTGCTGGATCTGATGCACACGTTGCACACTCGAACCGCTCAAGTGTTTCGATGGTGGGCAGAAGAGAGCAACTCTACGGAGCCAGTTTCCCTGTGGCCACAGGCGTGGAGGCCACTGTTGCAAGGTATCGCGAGATTGTGTTGCGACGCGCGCAGACCGGTTCGCACTGCGGCAATAACATATCTACAGAGCACGCTTCTAGCTCACGATTTAGCTCAATTATCAGCGGTGGAGTGGTCCCAGTGTTTGGAGCAAGTGCTCTTCCCTTTGCTGGCTCAATTGCTAGGACCGATAGCGGCGAACGATCCCATCGGAGTCGAAGAAACGAGGGTCAGGGCGGCTATGCTGCTATCCAAGGTTTTCCTTCATCATCTGAACCCTCTGCTGACCCTTCCCGGATTTCTACCTTTATGGCTCACCGTCCTAGATTTGCTTCGCGCGTATATGCACGCGGACAATAGCGAATTACTCTTCGAAGCCATACCGGAATCTTTGAAGAACATGCTGCTCGTGATGTCCTCTGCCAACGTTTTAGCACCGGACTCGAATCTGTGGACACCTACCTGGAGGACTATCGACGGATTCTTGCCTAACCTAAAGGACGAATTGTTCCCCGAGCCACCTCCGCCTCCGGTACCATCGCAGACACAACAGACACAAGTAATCAGTTTGGTAGAGCAGCAGCAGCCGTCGTTCACGGGATCTATCGCGCCGCAACCGGAGACCGTGGCGAATGAAACCGAACAACCACCAGAGGAGCAAGAAGCTGACGCTCAACTCGCAGCAACGGAAGCTACGAATCCTAGTCTAGCGAACAACTCCGTCTCTATATCAGTTCCGTTGACGCCATCGTTGTTCGATGACCTCTATAAGCAGGAACCGCAGCGCGTTGGAACGGTGAACCGTGCGAACTCGTCCGAGGTGAATCAATGTCTTCCATTTTAGCAGGATTCTACGGATCATCGGCTGAGCCTGCCAGCTTCTCTCGTTTTCTCCTCGTTTCTTTTATTTCTTTTAATCTCTACGCGCGCGCGTACGCTTACTATTTCGTTCTAATTGTTCCGACCTCTTTCAGCCCGACGCTACGAGCAGTCAGACTCCGCTGTCAAAGAAATAGCGAAGAAGAGACGCGCACGGTCGGCGCGAGAGACGCATGGAACTTGTAGAACTTGGAACATCAACGTTATACCTTAAACGGAGAACCGAGTTCGTTGCTTCTCTTCCACCGATCGCACGCGTCCTTCGGTCGCGATTGCCAGGGCTGAAGAGGCTCGAACTAACGCGCATACCCTGTCGCACGTCCCACTGCCGAGAACAGATCTCTTCTCTTTTCGTTGCTTTCATTATACCGCCTATTCGTGTTGTAGTTGGATTGGGATTAACGGGCAAACAAGAATAACCGGAATATTTTCTTTCCAGACGACAGCTATAAGCTCTACGGCGGCGACGATGTTTAATTCTGCGGCGTATTTTAGCGAGGATCCCGCGGCGGATCGACTATTCGCCGTGACCAATCCTTGACCACTGTACATTCGTTATGTATATTGTATGATATAAAGTATTTCTATGAAGCACGAGACATCTTTGATCCGCGGATCAGAAATCCCTGACCGCCGTCCCGGAACGGAAGGAAGAGCCGGCTGAAGCGTGTGCATAGACCTTTGGCTTGCGTATATTTTCGCGCGTATACAGAACATATACATATATATATATATCAATACGGAAAGTCGCGCGTTTTACGGAGCGGGTATCGCGTTTCGCAGAATTTCGCGGTCACGTTATTTTTAAACAATATCGACGCACGACCGTCCCGAGATTCGTAGGAGCGCGTCGCGCCGTCGCGCGGACTTGTAAACAGTCTGTATAGCCGAGCGACAAGCGCGCGTTACGAAGTCGCCGAGAAAAGTCACGGAAACTCGTTTATAGACAAACGGCTGACGCCAATCGTTACGTCGCGGTGCCGCTCAAGGGATACCGCTCGCTTAGAGTGCAAACTGTTCGCGGAGAGTCGATACTTCCTTTTCATCTCTTGGCAGAGCTATTTCTACGACGACTCGCCGACACGAGTTTCCTTCGCGAGCGATTCCGTTGTCGCGTGGCATCGTGTCACTTTTGTACATACGCGTCTACGTATATACACGATCGTCGTACTATCGGTTCGCGGTGAGGATTCACAGGATCAAAGAGCAACGCGAGCAACGTTGGGTCGCGGCGCGTTCATCCCGTACTCCCACGAGAGCATGCGATTCTGAACCAGTCCCTTGGTCCTCTTTCGGCAATAATAACCCAGGCTCTTGCACTTCTCGCAGAGGTGTTGCGGGTGAGCCTTGCTTTGATCGGATACGTCCAGTCCGTCCGGTTTCTCGACGGGCCTCTGAAACCACGCGGATCATACGAGTTTATTAGTAGTTGCGTAACTCTCTCTCTCTCTCTCCCTCTCTCTCTCCCTCTCTCTCTCGCGCGCGCGCACGCGGGCGCGAAAAACGCGAGTAAACTTAATTGCCAGCCGTTAGCGGAGCGGCGCGAGACCCGCGGCCAACGATATTTATATTTTCAAAGTTTTATTCGCTCGCGCCACCTAAAAATACTGCTAACCCCGCGGCAGTTGGACGGTTGGAGAAGATCCGCTCGCGGGACTTTTCGACCGGGGGAAAAGAGTCGGCCGCAAGTTTTCCGCCCGTTCGGCATAGAACGACCGGGTATTTTCTGCGCGCCGGGCGATCAACGGGAGCGCGATTACGCGACTATAATTAGCTACCGCCGGTTCCCGCGATATTTCGACCGGCGGTTCTTCGGCGAACTTTTGTTCCCTCTGGTCCCGACCCGTCGCGGCAAGAGAGGCGCGCTAACGAATGCGTTACGTAACCGCTGGACCATAGAAGAATCGTAGTCACCTGCTTGTGCGGATAGACGTTTATGTGGCATTTGCTGCACTCTTGGCCCATATTCGCCCAGCTGTTGCCCGACATCCATTTGCGTTTGCACTTGGGACACTTGTATTCCCCGAAGCATCGTTTGTTCCCCTGGTACGGCGTCAGACCCTCGCCCTTCGGCCTCGCCTGTAATCGGGACACAACGTCTCACCGGAACGTTCTAATTAACACCGTTAGTCATTCGCGTATTTCGAGACGCCTCGCTCCAGACTGGCTCGGTCGCTCTTTCGTTCTTTCGTTCGTTCGCTCGACGAGGAGAACGTGTATTACAAAAATTCTTTCTCGTACCGTGCAGCGAGATAGCGAACCCAGCAGAGATTCATCGTAAGAAGCATCGTCGCGTTCGCTTCGGTAGCTGGCATCGCTATCTCGCTGCGCGTACGGCGACCGGCGGAACTGTCCCGCGGAAGAACGTCTCGGTTCCCTGAACAGCGAAGCGCGTGCACGCGGCACCCGTTAACGGGGCCAAACTCATCGTTCGCGCCGGCCGATGACTACTGCGTGACGTCATGCTCGCCAGAGATGCTGTTTGTTGTCTCAATTAGCGTTCAATTAAGCCACCGTATGTCTCGCGGCGTTAGGTCGCCGCGTCTAGCGACGCGTTTCGTTCGAGGCCGGCCGAGGAGGATAGCCACCTGCGGGCAGTCCTTGATGTAGTGGCCCTTCTTGAAGCACAGGTGGCACAGGTAACTGGGAGGCGGTCTTTTGGTCGGCCTCCTGTCCAGCAGGGCCAGCTCCGTGAAATGATCCGCGAGATCGCCGATGCTGTCTGCCAGGTTGCCTCCTATCGGGCCGGAAGCGGTCAATCCAGCGGCGCGGTGCAGGTAAGGCTGCGATGCCGTCGTGGCCGGCGTGGTCGCTGGGAAACCGCTCCAAATCGTCGGTAGAAGCTTGCCCTGGGGACACGAAGAAAACCGGGACATGGGGTTCACGAGGTACCGAACGAAGAAACCTTTCGGGATCGTTGTTAGCTGTCCCGCCGTGGTTTTATGTGTACCTGGTCCGGCGGTTGAGCTCGATTCTGATCGGCGATCGCTAGGTAGACCCAGTTCAACGGGTGAGGCGGGTAATGCGGCTGCTGCGCCAGAGGTTTCGGGCCTTGGCTCCCGATGCTGTTGATGGAAGGGCCGAGGCCGATCTGACCCGGATCCGGCAGCTGCAAATGTTGAACCGCGGCTCGCGGGTGACAGGCGGCCATCCCTTCGGCTTCGCTGTCGTGGACTTCCGACGACTCTCACCGATCGCGGCTCATTCTTCCCGAAGTTCTTCCCGCTGAACAGCCACGCATCTTCGACGCGGCGGCCGCTACTTATCTCCGCGTTCCCATCGAACTCCCTCCGTCACGAGACACACTGTACGCCTTGTCTTTTTCAGGATCGAGCTATAGAAGCCGTGTGAAGCCGTTTTCAGCGGGTCATCCTCGGACACCTCGTCCGTTCCAACGGAGCGGCCGTTAGCGCGGAGGGAGCCGCCGCCGCGGAGACGCCATTCCTCGTTAGATGGGCCTGTCCTCGATCGAGCCGCGAGAAAGATCAACGGACTCCTTTAGGCGACGATTTGGCGTGCGTAGCAGCTTTCGCTGGGATGGAATTACGACGCAAAACGGTTTCGCACGGCCTCACGCACACGCGCGTCGGGATTCGAGTCGGTATGGGTTCATCTCGCCGTACGCTCGAGCGATCATGTATTTCTCGTACCGCGATGCGTCTTTTCCTTCGATGTTTTAACACTTCCCACTTCCAGGCCCCTAGCCACTGTTTCCTGCGGCCTCCTTGGAATCCTGGACGACTGTCGCTCGGACGCTTTTGCCAATTGTTTCCGATGAACGCTCGATCGCAGGCGGTCAAAGAGGAATCGAAGGCGGATGGATCGGCCGAACGCGACGGACCGGCAGCCTCGAGAGACAAAGCGTTTCCCGGATTCTGACGCGTTCCCTCGGAGGGACTGACTCCGATCCGAGCCTGCACAGTGTTCGGGCTGCCGCTCGGATACGTAAAAACGCATACAGACGAATCTTAGCCAGCCAGTTAAAGACCCCCGCCATGTGGTGTGGCTATTTCAGTGCTTGCTGTCCGCGGAACAGCGCCAGCAGCTTACCGTGGTTCAGCCGCGAGAGCGCGGCTCCTCTCCGGATCGACGAGTCCCATGATTTTCGCTTCGCTTCCCGCATCTTTTGGGTGCCACCTTTCGCCTCGGACGAGATTCCTCGAGAGATCATCGCCACGCGACGCAACTGCGTCGCCCCCCGGCCGAGAACACTCGGACGGGATCGGATCGCTGCAGAATTTGATGGAATGTCAGCGAACCCTTCCTATAAATAAGCACGCGATATCGATCGGTCACGATACTCTCCCGGCGTTCAACCCGTCAACGTGCGAGCGATGACTTGAACGTGGCCTCGGATCGCGACCCTAACCCGTCACGCGTCTGAGATGCGTTCTTGAATCGTCGTGCCCGTAAATGCGATGTAAGAGTATGCGCCACGCACGCTGTCCTCTTGACCGGCGTACGTGCTGCGAACGCCTCGGGAAGACCGCTCGCTATTCGCGCCACGAAGCGCTTGTCGCTCGTCGACGTTAGCTGTAACCCCTAGCGTTCCGTTCAGGTAATCGTTGCATAGCTATTTCGTAGATCGAATTGACACATTGAATGCCGTGGTCTCCAATCAAATCGAATTACTATAGTTCACTCAATGAAACGACGATTATTTGGAAACATTTCTATATTACAGATAACGCTATGTAATTTCGTGACATTCAGCTAGAAGAACGTGCAAGAACAATAATGCGATTCAATCGAATGATGCCATATCATTTTTTCCATTTTGTGTATTGCTTTATAAAATCGTGCGGCATTCAACGTGTTAACCTTTGGGCCTCGCCGCGAAGTCCCTCGTGTAGAAGCGCCGTGCCAAAAGTGGGGACATTGTTGAGTGCCGCATGATTTTGCCGAGAAAAATATACGAAATGAGAATAATCTAATATAAAATTGTGTAATTGAAACGCGTTATAATTATTGCAGGTTTATCTTGTTGAATGTCACTACATTAGGTAGTATTACTAGTAATGCAGAGAAGTTTCCAAATACTCATCGTTTGATTGAATAAATTATGGGAATTCGGTTTGGTTGAGGTCACCGGTGACTCCCATGGCATCCTACGTGTTAACACCAGAACTACCGGAGAGTACAATTTTCTTTTTACAATTATTACAAAGATAACAGATAATTCTCGGAGGAATTACTGTAGAAATTGATTTATCGATAGGCGAACTGAATGGTGAATCAATAGAAATGTCAATAGTACCACTGACGGAGTTCAGCATTCGGTGCCCTTTCGTCTCAAAAACACCGTTGTGACGCTGCTCTTAGAAGCAAAATGATTTGTGTTCATAACAGTGTGTTTATAATATTTCCATGAACGTATTTTTGTTATTGTTTACATTATCTTAACGCTTTGCGGACGTAGATTCTTTAAAATATAGAAAACCGTCAGCAGATGAAGCTAAATTAGATATAAATTGCTTGGATAGTTGGAAAAGGGAAACTACGTACTCTACTGTTGTTTAGTAATTAAATCATTTGTTTGCGACGTAGTGTAGCAGATATGAACGCCTGATCTCGCCAAAATATCGAGGTTCGTCCGCAAAGGGTTCAGTTTTGGCTCTACTTTTGTCTCCGGTGACTATAGTCACCCTTAGCAGCGAAAAGGTTAACGAGACAGTGTTTAATATCCACTGGAACGGTGGTCTACGATTGATCACCGTAATTACAGTCTCTTTTCCGGAAGCTGAGCACCCAGATACGACGACGGTAGCAACAGCTGTCCTTATTTCGGAATCTGTTGGTTTAAGAACTCGTCAGCTCGTCGCGGGGATGCAACAAGACTCGTGTGTCTGGAGATTCCTCTTCCGAAAAATAGATGATCGAAACTACGTAGGCCGCATATCCCGCGGACGCGGAACAAGGCCAGCATTGAAGCGTTCCTCGGCGTCATAATTAGCCTCGCGCTCGAACCAGAAGACCTTCGAAAACTTTCTGGTATTCGCCGGCAATTCGGCCGCGCAGCGACCTTTCGCCTCCGCGGGAGGAGCACGGCACGCAAAGTTCAGCCGCGGTAATTCCGACGATTTCCCTCTCACCTTTCGGAACGGACGCGAAACCGTCCGACGGCGGTCCAAATTCCACGCGCTCAGACGTCGGATCCGCGTCTTTGATTTTCAAGGACGCGACTTCTTCGAAGCAGCTTCCGTTCTCCGAACCGAGGGACGCGAGGCAGAACCTTGACACGTCGCGTCTAGAAATAAACGTCCGATCCACGGGACTCGCGAGCGTCTAGTCTTCTTTCGAACGTATCCGGATACTTCTAAACATCTGCTCGAATGTTGCACGACGATCCACGGTACCCGTGATGCTAGGAAACGAACGTTGGCAACGAAGGTGGAAAAATCGCGCGACGTCTTTTCCCGTCTAACGATCTACTCGTTGAACTTGCCATCTCTGAAGTAAATATAGCACGCACCCCTTGAAAGGTGCAAAGCGCAGTAGACGACGGCGTTCTTTCCGCATAAGGACCTCCGTAGAAAGCTAAAGGGGTGTAGTGGTAGGTCGTGACTCCTCGTGTCACCCTCGAACCCGATCAGTCTCGAATAAGCTCGCCCGGCGACCCTCTTTTAATATTCAGACCTCCGTTGAACTGTGCGTGGCCGACCAACAGGGATCCCAGCTGTAATTACCGGTTGATCGATAATCGACGATGACGGTTTCGCTGGTTGCTCGTCGGGGGAGCAGTTCGAGCTCGGACGCGGCCGCGTAGATTCGAAGGGACGCTCGCTGCTTCATTCCCTCGTTTCCGTTCATCCACGACTCGAATTCGCTCATGAAAATCTTGCGATTCATCGGCGAACGTTCTCCATGAGACTTGGACTCGACGACCGTTACTCGGAACGACATGGTCGGTGGATGAAGGAGTACTCGATCGTCGACGAAAGCTTCGAGCTGTCGGGCAACCCTTCAACCTGTTCGAGTTTTGTTCCATCGCGTCTTTGAATAGTCTTTCTCACCGCGCTTGAATTATTTGAGAAGGAACATCGTGACAGTCAACGCGTAACCACGATTTTCTACGATACAGTGAAGGAGAGGAATATTTAGCGGTGAGGAAGGAGCTTCTGTGGCAAGGAAGAAGATGGACAAGTACGAGATGATGGAGGTCGTAGGGGAAGGTAGCTACGGAGTGGTGATGAAGTGCAAGCACCGGGAAACTGGCCAACTTGTGGCCATCAAGAGGTTCCTGGAAACCGAGGAAGATCTACAAGTGCGGAAGATGGCGTTTCGCGAGATCAGGATGCTGAAGGTAGGTCGATCGTGTAGAATTTGAACGCTGGATCCGACGAGCATGGCGCACGCGAGTCGTAGGTCTTGGTTTGGAATTAACCCTTTGCACTCGAGAATATTTTTCTCGACAAATATTCATTATTTTCTGGTGAAATCTCAATGATATTTTCTGCAGCTAACGTAAAGAAATACTTTGTATAAATTAAGTGACAAGACTATTTTACTTCGATGTTCCATGTGTTGATAGATTATCTAAAAGTTAATAGTGAATTTGAAATTTGATCGTTTCGTTTAAATTAAGTGAAACTATTTTACTTCGATGTTCCATGTGTTGACACATTATGTAAAATTTAATATTGAATTTAGCATTTGATCGTTTCGTTTAAATTAAGTGAAACTATTTTACTTCGATGTTCCATGTGTTGATACGTTATACGGTCGAATCCAATGGCGACTGAAAGGCGCCACTCGAGTGCAAAGGGTTAACACTCATTTCTTTTGAAAGCGAAGGGACTCCGGAAAAAAGCCATGAAGGGAAGCCATAGGGTTTCATTCAAAAACAGATTTTTATGCTGGTCCTCTCCTTGTCAGTCACATTTTAGTTAAATCTTAGTTATCCAAAGGCTGAGGATGCAACAGCCCCGGTTTAATGAGTAAAAATTTTACACTACCCCATTCCCCTATAATGAACGAGGGATGTTGGATGCAGGTTATTCAGAGTAAAAAGAAAAAAGGTCTTACCCAGAAGATTAACTCTTTGCACTCGGGAGGTGACTCTCAGTCATCACTTGGTTTGATACAGTAAAATTCTAAAGTTTGTTTTATAACGCGTCACTATGTGAAGTTATAAAAGTACATTTTTGTCCCTTAATTTATCGATTAAATTATTTACATTAGTAACAAGCATCGTCTATATTTTATCAAAGGGGGTTGAATATTTCTAGCAAAGAACTTCCGAGTGCGAAGGGTTAATGATTCCCAAAAGACAGTGATTACCTGTAAGAGGTTATCCAAGATAAAAGGGATGACACTTAGGTCTGATTCAGATCTAAGTCATCAGAAGAGTTCTATGCGTCAAATCTAATGTTGCAATTAAATTGCAGGCGATTTTTATAAGTTCTTTGAAATTTTCCTTATATTCCAAAAATCGAAGTAGCTTTGCTAAACAGAACCCCCCTGTTGGTAAACCAATTCTCAAATTAAAAGGGTAGAGAGCACTATGCTCTAGGTGTCTTTCAACCCTTTGCACTCGAAAGTTTTTCAATGGAAATATTCAACACTTTTTGACGAGATATAGGTGATATCGTTTGAAACTAATTTAACGATAATTCATAGATAAATTATGCAACAAAGGTGTTTTATTTCAATATTTCACATAACAATGCGAAGTTTAACCCTCTGTAGGCCCATGTAACTTTGAAATCACATGTCAGTATATTGGAATCTTGTTGATTTATTTCATTTTGCACTTAAAGTGGTGAGTAAAATTAAGTAATCAGTTAACTTAAACTTTTATACGCTCAGGCATGAAAGTTTAACGTCATTGTAACTTGAAAGTTACAAAATATACTCGTTTGATGAAATTATTGAAACTATTGAGTACATTGTTAACTCGTATTCATATGTGGATATTTATTAATTTTGTACTGCATAGATTTTGTTATAATCACGAACAAAAATTCGGCCCATAGAGGGTTAATTTGAAATATTAAATATTCAACTTTATAGTTTTGTTGTATGGAATCAAGTGATGACTGAGAGTCACCTCTCGAATGCGAAGGGTTAAAACCCCCCCAAGCTCAATCTACAGGCCAGTCCTGTCCAAAAAGAAGGTTTGATTCAGATCTAAGTAGATTCGCGATCAGGCAAGTTAGTCACGAATAATCTGAACACGTTCTTGCAGAAGCTGCGCCACGAGAATCTGGTGAACATGATCGAAGTGTTCCGTCGAAGGAAACGATTCTACCTCGTGTTCGAGTACCTGGACCACACGCTGCTGGACGAGCTGGAGCGACTGGGAGGCGGACTGGGCTGGGAAACGTCCAGACGACACATTTACCAAGTCCTTCGAGGCCTGAACTTTTGTCACTCTAATAACGTAAGTTGGAGCTACTCGATTCTAATTAAACCTTTTAGTGCCAACGACTACTTTAACTCTTCGCGGGCGAATGTCGGCATTCTAGCGAGATGAAATTGTTGTATTTCGAAAATCAAGTCGCGAACAAATGATTGAATTAGTCGAACAACAAGAGATCAGCGTGTAGTTTCCTTCTTTTCCTGTTAACCCCTTCCCCTAAAACATACGAGTCAGACTCGTGGTGAAGATTTTCAACATGATTCAACAAATATATATATTACTCAGTTCATTCGACTTCAAAGTAAATATTATTCCTTTGTATTCAACTATTATACTTAACCAGTTAGCTGTGTTTGACGAGTATACACGTCATCGTAAAGCTTAACATGATACTAATTCTTTCAACGATGAATTCTTTATTTTTTCACATAAACATGTAATTCTTCTTTGTTTCGCTTTGATCTTTCATTTAAATATACTCTACGTGCATTCGTCTTGCGTTCGATGAGTAGACGCTCCATTTTTATTTTATTGCGCACAGAACCAGAGGTTTCTCCAACTAAATTCCACAGTTAACTGGTTAAAAAGAAATGTAGGCATAGCATATGCTTAGAATTTTTCTCTTTTTCCAATAAATTATTAATCAGAAAGTAGCCTTATCGATCAGAATTGAGAAAGAGATCACACGCCAAGGGGTTAATGAAGCAATCAGTGTATCGTTTAGCTTAATCTGCTGAAGGTTTCGTATATTTCAAAGAATCTTCGTCCGCAAAGGGCTAAATTCCCGCGGCGGTGAACGCGTCAAATTGGAAAATCGAGAGAAATCTACGCGCGTAGTATGTAGTACGCTCGAAGCTGTCGTGGCGGTTGAAGAGACCGCGTGATCGTTACCGCGAAACGATCCCCGACGAGTTCATTTACAGAACTTCCGTTCGCCGGCGGGCAGAGATATAGGATACCAAAGACATTCCATCGAGGATCGCGTGACCGATGCACAGATGTAATAATTGCGACTGCTAGAATAATTATCGATCCGCCGTCGAAGTACGGGAATAACGTTTCGTTTGTTCTTTTTTTTTCGCTTAACCCTTTGAGCGCTAAATACTCCGAGCCGAAACGTTCTACGCGGACGGGGAATTTGTTTGCTCGTCTGAAGATCGATGAATTATGTTAATCCGTACAATTAATTGAGTTGGAATTAAATTGTAATTGTAATTCCTCGATTTCACTGCATTGAATAATACTAAGCAATGGTATTGATTGATCAATTAAATCAATAATTAGATCAATTATTTCACATTACTTGTGGAGGTAGGGGGTACGTCGTCCCTTCTGACCTTCAAGGGTACCGGTGGCTGTGCGCTCGGGGTTTAAGTGATTGAGCTGCCGTTTTTTATATGTCAGCTGCTGGTTATTTATGACATCGGATGTAAAAATGCAGCTAGCAATAAAACGCTTCCAAAATTTACTTATACTGTGTTTAGACATGAGCGATCATAATTGGGTATAAATCTTGACGCACCGACGGCTGTGTCTCAAATAAACCGTGCCGGAACAATCAGAAAATAATGAATATTTATTGAGAAAAATATTCTCGAGTGCAAATGGTTAATATTCCATGTGAATAAGTATTGTACACGATTTCCGTAGATCATGCATCGCGACATCAAACCGGAGAACATCCTGGTGTCGCCGAACGGAGTGATAAAGCTGTGCGACTTCGGGTTCGCGCGTCTCGTGAACGGACCGAACGAGTCCTGCACCGATTACGTGGCGACCAGATGGTACCGGTCGCCGGAACTTCTGCTGGGCGATCCACGGTACGGGAAAGCGGTGGACGTCTGGGCGACGGGCTGTTTGTACGCGGAAATGATCACCGGAAGCGCTCTGTTTCCGGGCGACAGCGACGTCGACCAACTTTACCGAATCACCAAAGTCCTCGGTATGTTCGTTGTCATCGAGGATATGATGGAAATAGGTTTTCCAGCTAGTTGAATAAAACTAGCTGGAAAAATGCTTGATGAAAAATGGTAACTTGTATATTTAACTTTTTGAAATTTCTCTGTTCAAACTCTAAGAGTGTATCTATTGAGACTTTAATTGATTCATAAATCAGTCTACGTGTTTCTAAATTAATTTCTTTAATAAGAATTCGTTGAATAAGGAAACAAAGTCGAAAAAGGAAAAAAAAGTCGTTAATGAAAAATGGTAACTTGTATATTTAACACTGGAACTACCGGGCACCGAAATTGACTTTTTGAAATTTCTCTGTGGAAACTCCAAGAGTGCATCCATTCAGACTTTTATAACTAATTTCTTATCAGTAATAATTATAATTCTAATAATTCTAATTATTAACTAACTTTTTAACGAATCTCTTTAATAACTACCAGAGAAACGTCTACTATGTTTTTAACCCTCAGTTTTCCTTGGTTTTCCCATATCGTTTTATCGCGCCTGTAAAACCGAGTTTTCTCGAAATTACTTTTATTTCAACAGTTACCATTCTTGACTCGCATCAATTCTTGGAGCGCACGATCGAAGGGTGCTTGCAACGGCACGCGTTTTAGAAGGATGCAACAATTGGTGGTGGCGAGCAACATCGATCGGTCGCCTATCGCTACCCGCGATTAATTATTCAGCGGAAGAGCGGCGAACATACAGCAGCGACGCGTTACCATATTTTTTTGTTCCCACGAGGGACTCGTTTGTTCGCGGTTCTTGTTGTAGCCATTTATAGCGTTAACCCTTTTCACTCGAGAGGAATCTTTCAGTCAATTATCTTACTCGTGTTGTCACCTGCAGTCAGACTCGTAATTTATGTTTGGTCCAAAATTCGTATCACGAGTCAAGCTCGTTAACACGTTGGATGCCATGTTTTGTTATAGTAAGATTAATTCCTTTATAATAGGGGAAAATAATATTAGAAACAATTATTAATGTCTCGATATTAACACTGGAACTACCGTACCAGTCAAAATGATTGGTTTCGATTTTTTTGTTTAGCAATTATTGATATCTTCGAAGCATTCAATATTCGAAATGATTTTGAAAATAAATAGTTTCACTAGAGTACTAGAATGAATGTCTGGAGAAACTGAAAATAATCTATTATTACAATTTTTATAGGAATTGCATATTAATCATATTAAATGCTCGGTAGTTCTAGTGTTAAGGTACTCATATTACACTATTATCTAGCTTTTGTTACTAAATATTTCGATTAAATATCAATTCTCTTATTGTAATTGTTTTCAAACATTTTAGAAGCTCCGGTCACCGATGACCACCGTGGCGGTCAACGTGTTAACCCGTTCGCTACCAGCGTTACATGTTTTTGTAATCCTATATTTTATATAATGAAAATGAAATGAATCCTATTGATATCGTTATTAGAAATGATAAACTACGACGTTATATTTAGGAACTCAATGACTCGCTTCTGTTTCATTTTTCTAATATTTTGTTTAGAAAATTTATTAGATTGAAGAATATATTATAATTGAGGAGACCGTCACCGAAATTAATATGTTAACACGTTGGATGCCATGGGGGTCACCGGTGACCTCAACCAAATCGAATTACTATAGTTCATTCAATTGAACGGTGGTTATTTGAAAACATTTGTATATTACAAACAATGCTACCTAATACGGCGACATTGAGCAAGATATCACACAATCGAATGATTTAATATTATATCTTTTCCATTTTGTGTATTTTGTTCTATGATACCGTGCGGCGTTCAACGTGTTGAAGAGCTGGAATACATAGCGTGTCGAACATGTTCCAGGGGGATTGTGCAGAAGGCATATGGCGTTACTGAGTCGCAACGCGCCTGGTAGAATGTTGCGTCATACAAGCGCCGATGAACTTATGGGCCCTCCTCAATCCGGAGTCTCAGCGCTGCGTAAATTGTTCCCGTCATGGGACAACGCTGCAGCGGTCGACTTCCTGGCTCAGTGTCTTCGCATGGACCCTGACGCCCGTCCCAAGTGCTCCAGCTTGTTGCAACACTCGCTGTTCATGCAGAATGGATTTGCAGAAAAGTTTCTGGTCGAGCTACAGGCCTGTCTGGTCAAGGAGTCCGCGATGAACCCTCTGCTATCCAAGAAATCCGAGGAGAGAAGGCTGACTGTCCTTTCAGCCGAATCTCCTACGAGAATCTGTCGCCAAAGCACTGGCAGGTATTTTAGGATCCAATTCCAGAAGACTCGAGGGAGTCCTCTGTTTTCTTTGTCCTGTTGATTGCTGATTTTAACACCAGCCAACATTTCCAGATGGCATATGACTTCTGTGAAGGATAGAGTAGTTGGCGACAAAGTGGAACCTGAAGCAGAGCAAACGGTAGAGGAATCGCAAAGACCATCACCGGTGTCCATCACTCGGCCTAAGGAAGTTTGTTACTTCGGATCTGTCTCGGTTATACCTAATACGACCTACATTAGAAGGCTGCAACATAAAGGGTTTCTGGCTGCGGAATCTAAAGGTTGCACGCTACCATCTTTAGCTTCTAAAGACCACAGCACAACAACGAAGACTACAGGGAAGAGGAAGAGGATCGATTTACCTAGCGTGGACCGCTAGAGAATTTTAGACAGATAAGTCTCTGCTGGTGACTACATGGGGGTCATAATTTAGTTAACTTTGACGAGTAATTGCGTTTGTAAAGAATGTCAAGTGTGTGCGAGTAACGCATTTCTCTAGATCTGTAGCTAGACATATTTTTCTTGATATATAATGATGTCTGTATTGCAAGTATTGCAAGTATTTTACTGCAATTTTGAAATAAAGGGTTTGTTTGTTATCGTAGTGTGGTAAATATGCTGATATAATTGGCAGACTTGTATCCTGTTATGTATTTATTATTTATTATGAATTCTTTTCTGTACAGGGATCATCTGGGAGAAACACAGTTCCTATCACAGACTTCGATATATGGAGTTGAAGAATTTCGAAATATTCATTGATAAATTTATTTTAAGGAAGTGTACATAAATATATTATAATATATATAATACAATTGTATATTTATATATTACTATTAAATATGTGTCATAAGTGTATAACTTGCAACAAGTAATACCCATCGCTCTTATCATTGTTTTGATATATTAATATTTCCTAAATTTATTTTAGTGTATTATAAACAGTTCACAACTGTAGTGACTATCTCAATAAGCTTTCGTAATTGTTATTTTATGATTCACAAATGTTATACAATAATAACATGACATTCTGAAGTATTAATGTAAAATATAAATAAACAACAATACTAATAGACATCGCTTTTTAATTAATTACCTACTAACAATATTCAACCATCCATCGAGTGAGGGCAGCATCGCAATTTACAAAAAACTTATTTCATTTTTGCTAATGTTAAACACAAATCTATAAGCATTTTATGTATTAATCACAAATTATTAACATGACAGACACGTTATAATACTCGTTAAGTGCAAGGGAGGTAATTCAAAATTAGCGTTTTTCCATTCCCGCAATGTGTAAGACAAGGATAGTTCTACTGTGCGACAAGGATAGTTGATTTGGTTGCGGGCGATAGCAGCGCCATCTAGCGGTAGGGCATTTTCAGACTTTTCCATAACCCCGCAATGTGTAAGACAAGGACAGAGATAGCGTTCCCCGTGCCACCTACTTGGTAAAAGCATCTCATCAGTCCCTGGTACCTACGCGCAAAGCATGATGACCAAGGAGGTATCCGACAAGGATAGATATATGATTTCGCGGGAGAGACAAGGACGCACAATGACGTTCGCAGAGGTCTGCGTAATCGATGGATAATTCATTAATAACTCGATTCCCACGAATGACTGATTAACATTTGTAACTGGAAATCGTAGAATGGAATTTCCTCTACTTTCCCCTATCACTTTTGATAGGATTTTGCGTTGCGTTGATTAGTTATTAGTTATTTCTCGAGACGATGTCCCCAGATAGTCTAGCATTTGTTGACGGATGCCGAAGAAATAATTAATTTTCGTAGTTGATAGACATAATCGGTGAACTTTTATAATTGAAGAAATTAGAGTGGGCGTCTAGCAATTTTTCAATGTCAGGTTCAGTTAGATTTGAGTCGTAATTAATGAGTTATTAGGGATTTTCGGAAGGGTTCATTGCATCTATAAAAAATGCAATGAGTACAAGTACAGTTTTGCTTAACACTAGAATTACCAGATGGGCCAAAATGACTCATTCCTTGACCCTTTTTTGACTTTGACCTTTGAGAAATTACTAAAGAATACAATTAGGTCACACCTAAGCTAAAATGTAAACCAATTAGGATCTTAATAAATCCACGCTTCCAGCTTTTATAAAGAAGTTTTTGAAAGTCGGTTTAAGTGTTTTTTAGTTCTAGTGTTAAATAAGAAAATTACTAACGCGATGACATTCAATGTATCTCCATGAACATCGCATCTCTTTGTTAGGAAAAGAAGTTTTTCAACTACATTGAGATAACATAAGAAATCACTGTTTATTTCTCATTACCGATCGACACAAATATTCTAAAATATACATCCGTCGATGTCATTTCATTTTTCCATCACCGTCAACATCTAGCGTGGTCAAACGGAATATTGGAACAGAAAAGCGGACGGTGTCCTAATTGGAATCAATCTCTTGTCCCCTCCTCTGTCCGTAACGACATAGTAGTTCCTTCCATTGATTAACTGCTTATTAGCTTGCGTCAAAACGTGTTGGGTGTTCTTATGTATCATTTGCGGAGCTCTATCTAAAAAGTTTACGCGTAGCGGGACATTTTTAACGGATTGTTTCTTTGCTCTTTGCGCTGGAGCAAGAGAATTTCGCGGACCGCTCCGCTTTCTATTCTTCACTCGGCTCGAGAGAAATGCGCAGATAATTTCAAACAGAAAAATAGTTGCCGCGATCGCGTATCCAGCCACGACGACTTTATACGTCAGAAGGAGATCAGTGTTCCTGAGTTGTCTTTCCGTTGAACGAAGATCCACCGGACAAATTTCCGCCAGTGGAAGATCTCCTTCTTGCTTCTGTTGAACGATGCCTGCTTCTACCAATCTTATCAACCTGAAAGTAAATAAACTGTTTACGCCCCTATTTCACCTGATTTTCTTATTCAAAATGTTCTTGAAAATGTACATTTTATTCAAAGGTTTTCGAATGGTCGAACCGTAAGAAAAACCAAATGCGCGACTCGTGTCCAAGATACTTCCGGGCATTATCACGTAAGTGCAGCGCAGACTGTGATCCAAATGATAGCGAGTTTTGTTCACATAATCCTTGAATATTAATGTTTGCAAGTAATGTGTTTCAGCTAGGAAGAGTCTTTCTGAAAGAAGAAAAGATGGAATTAAAATATTTTTCTTAATCCCTTCTTGACCTACAATATCGTGTCAGGCTTGTGGCGAAGATTTTAAATACTCGGTAGTTTTGGTGTTAAGCTGTACAAAACCTTTTGCAGATATTGCTAGATTAGAAACTGAATCCTTAAATCATAGAGAATAAAGAAATTATGTATCGTTTTCTTGCTGTTCGAATAGTTAAATCATTTGTTTGCAACTTAGCATTCCAAACGTGGAAGTTTGGTCTCGGCAATATGTCGACATTATTTAACACTCGATTTACTGACATTTACTGTACAGTTTGTTCTATTGTTCTCCGAGAAATTGTTATCCGTTCATTTAGATCTTAGAAATTAGAGGTTTAAGGGTAAACAATTAGGATACAATTAATGCTTATAAAATTCAATATGAGTCAAATTGACTCATTCCGTGAATATAGTGTTAAACACGTATTTACATGAAACACATTAATTGTTAATACGTACTCGTGCTCACAGTTTTCAATATGGCTCTCGATGATTCGTAATACTTAAAATCACCTTTCCCCTGCCGTTTGCTGGCGTTCAATAAACTTAAATCGTTGTAACGGTCCTAATGAAAATAATTTGCTGATTATTATTGCTCGCAGTAATATAAATCCTGAATGGTCACCTTTAAATTTCACCTGAGAAAGAAGAAAATCGACGGTGCGTCCTTTGTAAGTGACCCAACTGTATCCTTTGTGAACAATGTCTTGCAAAGAACTTATAGATAAGGTAAACTGTGGTTTCGTAAGGAACGCCGTCAGATTTGCAGTGTAGAACGATGTTAATATCAATATAAAAATCCACCATGTAGCGAAAAGCATTCGCGTCGAATCTGCGTTGTATCAGAGAATCGTGATATAATTCTAAAACGTACAAATTGATCTCAATCAGTGGCGGCCCGTAATTAAAATTAGTAGAGCTGCTGCTCCAGAAAATTTTTAGCCTCCGTTTAAAAATGTTTGTCTCTTTTCCATAAACTGGAGATGGCTACTGACATTAAGCTTAATGATTGTATATTGTGCAAGTATAAAGAAAGAATTAAAGAAAAAAGGACTCATTATATTAAATGTTATCGATAATATCAAATCTATACGCGAGCCACCACTGCTCCCAATTATCATGAAACAGTAATTAAACGTTTCACCTGTTGTAGCAACGATGTTGGTTCCCTGTTTCAGAAGGGAACTATAAGTGAACCAAAAACAGGACAACACAGTAAATTTTTCTGAATCCGGATCGCGCCACAACTTCGCCCTACATTTAACAAATAAATTGCAATTAAAGGTTTGATGCTTTCGCTGGTCGATATTATACAATCCTTATCCTTATCCTTATTCTGCAGGCTTTCCTCGAAATAATATAATTTGTTTAACGCTAAAACTGCCGAGCATTTAATATGATTAACATGTAATCCTTATAAAAATTGTAGCAATAAATTATTTTCAGTTTCTTCGGATATTCGTTATAGTATTCAACAGATACTATTTATTTCCAAGCTCATTTCGAATATCAATGCTTTTAAAATATCAATAATTGCGAAACAAAAGAAAAGTAAACCAATGATTTTGACCGGTACGATAATTCTAGTATTAAGTAACTACTACGATCGAGGCTATCATAAAAAGTTCTCAAATAAGAATTGTTTAACCCCTTGCCTTATGATTGATTTCTCAACTGTGATCAATACAATAATTTTGTCACTAATAATGTATTGAAAGAGAAAAACTGTATGCATAATTTATGTCCACCGTTGCTTTAAACTATAATAATAGGTAACGGAAACATGACAGTTCATTTGAATTTACAAGACTCGAGTAATATTTATTTTTGCTAAATTCTGTTTAAAATCTTCAGCACGAGTCTCGCACGTTATTGTAAGCCAAGGGGTTAATATTTCAACTCGAACAATTCAGAGCACCTAATGCTAGCGAACAGATAAATAATCGGCCCAACGCAGATCAATGACACCAAAAGCAGAAGCCAAACGGTTCTCTCGAATGGCGCAAGGAGGCCGGAACCAGTAGCCGACTCTTGCGGTCTCTCCATTACAGCCGTTATGCTGGTTTCATCCAAGAACGCACTGAATTCACAGTACCGTCCCATTTCGGGTAGCACCGGGAGAAATGCGACAGCCATGTCCACCTTCTGTTCAAATGAAAAATAATCTTCATTCTCCTCTTATCTTGTGTTTTAACCCTTTGCACTCGGAAGTCTAGAAATATTCAACATCTTCCAATCAGTTATAGACGACATTCTTCGAAACGAACTGAATGAGAGAACACACATAACTTAAGAAACAAAATTATTATTTCAATATATCACACATTTATAGATTACGCGAAGTTTAATATTTTGTGGAAGACTTTAGAATTTTGGTATATCGAATTAAATGATGACAGTCGCCTCTCGAGTGCAGAGTGTTAACGCGTTGACCGCCACTGTAGTCACCGACGACCGGACCGTCCAAATGATTAGAAAACAATTACAAGAGGAAAACTGATATCGAATTAAAATATTTATATAGTAACATGAGTAATTAAATGATAGCGTAACTTCAGAACTATGATACTGAATCATTAACACTAACCGTACCGGTCAAATGGCCGGATTTATCTGCGTTTTCTTTTGTTCATTGAATTTTATATTAGTTCTTTTATTGTCCGATTAATTAGTTTTTCAATTTTCATTCTTTCTTTTGCTTCTGTTTCCGCTAAGAGAAATTGATCATCTAATTTGTTATCTCTATTTTGTGGCCAGTTATTTGATTAGTTACGGTAGGAGTGCTGGTATGGTTAGTGTTAATAACTAATTCTAATACTGTTTTCCTTTGTTATGATATGATAAGTAATATTATACACTGTAAATTCTCGCGGCGGTCAACGTGTCAAGAATGACATATTTCTCAACTAAACGTTCAACCTTTTCGTAAAGCAGTCCGAGGACACCATTATTCTCGTCTCCAAGAATGTGTTCGTTCGGTGGGATAATAGTATACGTAAAATTCAGCTTCGCACTGATTAAGTTAAAGATGTAAAACGCGTATCCCTTACCGACCCATGTTCCATTCTCCTTTGCAATCCCAGAAAATGGCATGTCCTGCGACGAGTACACGTTATTCCGCGTGTAAGAGACTTTTTCAAATGAATGATACCGTTTCATAATATGCGCTCACAGTCAATACGCACGACCCTTCAAAAGTCATAAATTAGACATCTCGTATCGTTGACTATGAGTACACGCTATGATTTAACACGCATTATCATTTGTCTCACGGTGAACACATATTATGGAACACCATGTCTATTCGTAGCTTTAATGCTTTCACGGCCTGGAATATTACATTCATAAGTGGCTTCCGGATGAGAGCCGTGTCCAGTAGAAATTTATTCTCAATGTTTCGCCATCATTACAGCTGGCTTCATCAGGAGTTAAAGATACACTGATACTGATGTGTGCCTAGGAAGACTGTCTTTAGATAGGTACCTGGTTCATGTTCTGGATCAGTAATCACCAGCAGTTTTTAATTGGTCAGCTGAACAGTTAAAAACTACTGGTGATTACTTAATTGGTTAGTTGGACAGTTAAAACCTACTGGTGATTACTGATCCAGAGAAATGAACCAGGTACCTATGTAAAGACAGTCTTCCTAGGTGCACATCATTATCAGTGTGTCTTTAACTCCTGATGAAGCTAGCTGCAATGATGACGAAACGTTGGGAATAAATTTCTACTGAACACGGCTCTCACCCGGAAGCCACTTATGAATGTATCATGCCTATCCCTTCAATTTTTAAATATTAAACCATACGTTCCAGGATGTGACCACTATGTGTGACGGCACTGGAGTTCCATCTTCCTCGTCCATCGTTCCCGCAAACGTATCTGCAAATATGAAATGTTAAAAATGGGAAGATACGGTAAGAAAATCCCGGTGTGAACGAGCAGATTTAAGTACATAGGAACCTTGGCCATTAACATAACGATTGCAGCGTTGAAACCATGCAACTAATGCAACGAGCAGTACGCGAAGAATGCGCATCCTTTAACACGTTAAATGCCGTGTCGATCACCAGTGGCTGACGCTTCTGAATTGCTCGACAAAAATTACAATATGTCGACTAAAAATATTGAACAACATAAATAAATTAACAATAGTGTAATGTAAGAATTCTGATGCAAAATAATTAATAATTGTTCCCATTTACCTTTGCTATGAAGGATATAAGAGGAATAAGTTAACAATAGTGTAATGTAAGAATTCTGATGCACAATAATTAATAATTGTTCCTATTTACCTTTGCTACCAAGGAACAAATCATGCATAAAACGTTCAAGATTTTCGTGGCGCTTAACGCGTTAAACGAAAATGGAAGCGCATCAGTCTTCGCGGACTATACTTTCACTGAAACGATGGTAAACTGATATAGTTTAGCGATACGGCAGGCCAGGTGCTAAGGTAAATCGATACTGATGTGTTAGCACGCATCCTTGCTGTCTGTGACCCGGCTGACATTCACGCACAAACGGTTGACACGTTGACACTTAGAGTATATTGTCATTTGTAATATATGTATTCATAGAAAGATTTTTTATTGGAAATAAATACATACTGCAAAATATCATACCGTTGTTTGATGCTTCATACTTTTTTAATGGGAACATTTCAATTTTGCTTGTCACGCATTTATTAATTATCCAGTGAACCGTCTTTGTAAGGCCCAACATTTTTTATTTAGTCACAAAGGATTTTATTCAGAAGCTGAATACTGAAAAATTATTTTCTTTATGATATGATGTACGAATTTACCTTAATTGGATATTTTAACAAATTATTATGATAAACAATCTTTGACTCGGTCGCTTCTAACGTGACATTCTTTGAAGTAATATACACAGTGGTATATTAATGTAGTATATGTATATTAAGAATATTTTGCATATCGAAACTCCGGTATCATTCGGTTTCTATGCTTCGTCGATTTCCAGGAGATAGAGGCTTCTGTGAAAGAGTTGATTCAAAGAAGAAAATAAAAGTTTCAAAACTGATGCCGCCATTAGCGCACTCCTGCGATACGATTGCTAAACAACGCTCCTGAATGTATATACGCACGCGCTGATGGAGCGTCAATCTGAACCGGGGTTCTTTCATAGAGAAAAATATTTCCTATAACAATTAAGAAAATGATCGTACGATTAAAAATTAATAGGCATTGGTACATATGTATATTTGAATATATATTATAACTATTTTACAACAATAAATGCGTTTGCCAGTCGGAAAGTAACGCGAAAAGCTATTGAGCTCAAATGACGTATCCTCAGACAGTGGTTCTCAATTGTATTTAGAGATGCGAGAAGCATCAATGGTGGACGGGAAAGCGACGGTAGCCCGGTTGCACTGAAATGACAACAAGTGATTGATATTATTAACGGTGGTATAATGTGAGGTGCAAGAGGAAAGATAGACCGGCGCGAACGGGAGCGCACTTTGTTGGTAAGTAGTCCGACAAAGCATCCCGTTCGTGGATATGATTGCGCGTTCGGGACTTTCATTCAAGGTGTAGGAAAAATTCCTTACCGAACCAACCATCGGTGAGCGCAGGTTATGTGAGGCCACGAAACGCGTCGTTACTAGCCGTTTTTCCTCGAACACCGGCCAGGATGGGCCAGGGTACAGACACCTGCACAGACAGGCCCACCGAAGTCAGCGTCATCAGATTCGTATCGAGGAATCGCACTATCGAGGAAATAGCTCCAAAAAAGGTATAACCGCCAGAGCCATTTAACGGGTTCAACGACCCCTAACTCAAAACAAATCGTACAACGTTTATTCAGCATTGCCATGTTCTTGTGCCTCTTAATTGTGTCGCGGTAGGTTTTTTATTTTTGATGAACTGCGATTTTTCAGGAAATATATACATGCAAACAACGAGGTTGTGGCAAGATATTTACAAATCAAGACGAATACAAAACACACGAAGCTCTTGAAGCTTTAAAAATCAGATTTATGTAAGTTAATTTGGTAATTTAAAAGTATGGAGTTAGAGTGAATATAACATGAAGACTAGCATTGTTCTTTGTAATAGAATAACTGATTTTTATCTAATGTATCGATTGTATCTAGCTGCCGGGAACCAGGATGCGGAGAAGAATTATCTGATCCTGGAAGCATGTGGCGTCATTATCAAGAATGGCATAACAATGAAACAAATGTATTTATATGTCCATATACAAATTGCGGGTCTTTACATACAACCAGTAGTAATTTAGAGGAACATATCGAAAGCTGTCACAGACAGCCACCAACACTGCCAACTGAACCAGAAGTTATATGCTTCGAAGATCTAGAAAATGCAATGGACGAAGAAGTTGTACAAAGCACGGAGGACTGCTATGAGAAAAGACAGAATGAAACTTTTGCAATAAAGTCACACCAATACGATGATAATAGCGAACAAAGTATTCACAGAAATGACAATATTCAACAACAAAAGAAAGAAGCCCCGCATGATCAGAATGCTCCAAATGATAGCGCGAACAAAGAAGATTACTCTTCTACTACTGAGTCGTTAAATGAAGCCAGTGGATTTCCTATCACTGACAATCTAATGATAAATACAGATAATTTCTTATGCAAGTATGAGGGCAATACAAACAAGTGTTCAGAACTTCAAATAGAACATTCCCAAGAAAAAAATAATGTAGTTTATGTAAATGGAGATATTACGATTACGAAAAATTTAAAAAATGAGGTATGTACCATGAGCTCAAGAAATCAAGAACACAGAATAGAATTGGATAATCTTGAACGAATCTTTAGAAACGATTTAAACCGTGATGCTTCAAAAAATGAAGAAAATACTATAGAAACGAACAGTAACTGTTCTGATGATGAAGAATACACTCCAAAGAAACAGCGTATGTCTAGATACAAACAAGAAATCTATAAATGTGCTACCAATGGCTGTGGGAGAAAGTATAAATATATATCCCACTATCGTCATCATCAAGACAGTCATAAATTAGTAGCCAATACAATTAGTTCAAATTCTAGTAAATCAATAGTGAAATTAAAACAAGGGAAAGCTTCGACAGTCAGTTTCTTCTTGTAAGTTTGACAATACCTTAATAATAATTAATAAATATTTATGCACTTCCGAAACAAATATATTACTTTGTTTTTAACTTATTATTCACTAATTAGATGCAAGATTCCTGGTTGCGGGGCACAAGTGAGCAATGTAACTGGTTTATGGAAGCATTACCAGGACAATCATGCTAATTCAAAACTGCCAGTAGTACAAGGAACTAAAAATAATGAAATATTCCGGTGAGTTTACTATATTATTTTAATTATTCATTTTCAAAAGATGTTTCAAACGAGTATACGTTTTAGATGCAAGATTCCAGGATGCGAAACAGAATTCAGTACAACTGTAATGCTGTGTAAACACTTCAGTGAAGTGCATTCAAATGGTTCTGGCAATAATGCTAGCACAAACACAAAGACTGGAAATGGGAGTAGTTTTCATTATACTGAAATGTTCAAAGATGATACTACCAACCCCCAAGTAAATTTTAAGACTGACTTTAAGGCAAAACATAATATTAATGTAAATGACTGTACGAAAAACGCAGATGAACAAAGATTATCATCAATCGTTAAGAAAGAAACCAGAGAATGATTCACGATGAATTATTGACTTTAATTGTGAAGATAAATAATTGTAGCAGTATAAATTAGAGTATTTTACTGGGGCCGTAAGCATTCGGTTTGAAAAATATTATTGTTCCTTTCTCTTCACGAGCTTTTCTGCTCCTTTTTTATTTTTTAACCCCTTGGCTAGTCACTGTTCATTACGCTTTTATTACTATTTTGAGTGCAACGACCCTCGTTTAATACTCGCATTTTTATGACTCTATTTCTGAATACTAGAGATTTGGAATAGAGAGGAAACTTCTGAGTCGTTTTTCAATGACTTCTAATTATCCAAATATAAATGAAAGCTTTATATAATACATAGCAATTTTCTAACTTGATACATTACCTGAAAAAAGTATTACATTCTTTTCTATGTTTCGTATTTAAAAATTCTGTAGACTCTACTTAATACCTGCCTTTTGAGTAATAGTATCATATTTAAAATATATTGTAAGTAAAAGAAAAAGAACAAAATAAAAATGTGAAAAGCAACTCAGACAGATTTAAAATGTTAAATCTCAATTGAATACTCGACGAATGCAACCATAAATACAGTTTAGTAGATTGAAAAATCTGGTGTGGTAAACTTAAAAATAAAGTGCAAAGAAAAGGATGGACTTGCAGCAGCAAATTTGTGCGCATGTTATATAAAAATTCTTGACTTTCCATACTGATTTTTACTATTTTATATTATTGTATTATTTTAATGTAATTTATATTACACGTGTCATTGTAGTTATTGTATTAGATATCGTAGAATTGTAAGTATTATGTAGCATTTTTATTTGTATGTCTGTACGTTGAAAAATAAAGTGCAATAGTAAGTTAAAGAGAATTTTTATCCTCTGGTTGTTTAACATAATGTTTCAATATTTTTCGCTATACAATATTATCCATTGCATATTTGTACAAGAAGTACTTTTCGAATGAACAAGGTGATTCTTGTCAGAATGGTTCATCAAACCTGATTTAAATTGCGTTTGTATATTGTAGACTTAAGCGTACTTTATTCAGTTATAACAAATGTTGTTTGTAGTATATCTAATAATTTCAATTAATTGGTGTGTAGCGGAAAAACATAATTTTCTTCTAATAATCGTTGATGATTTAAGAACAACTTTAGGATGTTACGGCGATCAAAATGCTTATACGCCACACATAGACCGATTAGCAAAAGGAGCTGCCATTTTTTCGCAAGCATTTGCTCAGGTTAGTATCGAACAGGGTATCTTTAAAACGCATTTATGATAGAGGCAGCCAATAAATGATACATAAATATGTTGAATTATGATCTAAGAATATTTATTTCTTTTTAGCAAGCCTTGTGTGCACCAAGTAGAAACTCTTTTTTAACCAGTAGAAGACCGGATACACTTAAACTTTATGATTTTTATAGCTATTGGCGGGAAGATAGTGGCAATTTTACAACATTGCCTGAATATTTGAAAAATCATGGATATATTACCAAATCTATAGGAAAAGTTTTCCATCCAGGTCTTCGACTTATAAAATATAAATACGTATTCATTATCCTATTTAAATACTACTTAATTTTTTACAGGAATCAGTTCAAACCACTCTGATGACAGCCCTTACTCATGGACAGAAGTACCTTTTCATCCTTATACAGAAAGATATAAGGATGCACCAGTTTGTCAAACGTCTCAGAAAATACCACCTGCACAAAATCTTGTTAAGATCAGCCATTATTTTTATAAATAAATAATATATTTACATTATTGTTCTCTGAAAATTGCTTTTAGATATGCCCAGTTAAAGTTTCATCAATGCCAAATAAGACTTTACCAGACATAGAAATTCTACAAGAAGCTAAACGTTTTATACAAAATTATGCAAGCAGTCCTGCTCCTTTCTTTTTAGCAGTTGGATTTCAGAAACCCCATATACCATTCAAATATCCTAAAAGATATTTAAGTAAACTTCATTGTTATCGCCAGTTGTAATCATTGTTTTTGACGATCTAGAAAATATTTATAAAATATTCTTCCAGAATATCATCCACTGCATAAATTTGAAGTACCATATCCGTATAAATGGCCAGAAAATATTAGTAGTATTGCTTATAATCCCTGGATAGATTTAAGGAAAAGAAAGGACATTGAAAGTTTAAATCTCAATTTTCCATGGGAAAAGATACCAGGTATGGTTAGTTTGTATAATTATTGAAAGCCTTATGTTGATCTTATTGTTCGATTCACAGGAAGTTTTGGAAAATTAATTATACAATCTTATTATGCAGCTGTGACTTATATTGATGACTTAATTGGTAAATTAATAAATCGTTTAGAAATTCTATCGCTTCGACGGAATACTACCATAATACTAATGTCTGATCATGGTCAGTGAAAACATTTCATAGCAAAATTGTAATTTTTAATTCTATGGATATTGAAAATTAATGTTTGCATAGGATGGTCACTGGGCGAACGTGCAGTGTGGGCCAAATATAGCAATTTCGATGTTACTCTGAGAGTACCTTTAATAATATCGATTCCAAGCTTAAAAAATAATTCGCTATTAAAAAAACAATTAACTATAGATTCTATGGTGGAATTAGTTGATATTTTTCCAACCATTGCAGATTTAGCAAACATTCCGATCTCAATTTGCCTTAAAGAAAATGGCAAAAAAAACACTACACAAATAGAAGAAAAATGTTCGGAAGTCGTTTGCAGCGAAGGAGTTTCTCTTATGCCGCTTATAAGAGCCGCTACAACGCAAGAAGTAAATACTAAAAATGATGTTCAGTATCCAAAGTAATATGTAATGAATCATACGAAAAAATTTGCAGTTGCTGCCATGGAAAAATGCAGTTTTTGGACAATATCCAAGACCAGGTATTAAGCCTTCTATGAATCCAAACAGTGACGAACCTCGATTGAAGGAAATAAAAGCTATGGGATACACTTTGAGGACACGTAGATATCGTTACACAGCTTGGCTGCAATTTAATCCGGAAACAAAAGTATCAAATTGGAATGACATCATCGCAGAAGAATTGTACGATCATAAAATTAATAATGCTGAGAATAAAAATTTAGTAGACTTTCCGAGGTATCTGAAAATAAAAACGAAATTGAAAGTTTTACTAAAACGCGGCTGGAGATATGTTTTGCCTAAAAAATGAACTTTTAATTTCTGGAGTTTATAGCTGTTAAATGTGTATGTCGTAAAAGGTAAATTTTTATTATACACATACTATTTTATTCTATTAATGACAGTATTATATTAAGAAAGATTATACTAACATTATATTACATTAATACTGATAATAAATATATATACTATGTATATAATCAAAGTTACTTTTATCCCTAGCGATAGTAAATTATGGAGAAATACTTACAATGAATATACTGTGTATATATAAAAAAACATACACTGAATATACTTTTCACTGTAGTTAGTGACACACCATTAACTTGTTTGCTACTCATGTGTGATACACGTGAGATATGTTTTTTGTAACATAAATATATTAGCTACAAATCAATGACGAGGATCTGTATCATTGTAAAATCATTTTGAACAATGGTAGCGAATATATTAAATAGCTATCATAGTAGAAAAAACAATATAGAATATGCATTATTATTTTTTAATGAACTAGATTGCATTTCTTATAGCATTCATTCTTCTTGATTTTTGTTATTCTTATTATTCGTCGTTGTTGGTATAACCTGAAATTATTATACGGTGTTTTGTTATCGTTATAAATTAGAATTTTAGTTGTTTAAAGTGGTTATAATTACATGAATTTATACTTACCTCTACAACATCATCGTCGGCATCTGCGGATTTTGAATACGTAGAAATTCCAGTAGACGGAATTTCGTTTCTTTCTTGTCCACTTACATTATTAGTATTTCTTATTACGTGAGGTCTCGGAGCCAAATTCTGCACCTGTGTTCTCATCTGATGCTGCATTAAACCTGCATTCTGTTATTCATAAAGTTTCAATCAATAAATAATTAATAAATAATTTTAAATCGTTCTTTACTTTACTGTAAACATCATTTTAAATACCATTTCAGGCAATCTATTCGCAGATGTATTATGGAAAGCCTGTTTCTCCCAATAACTGTACATATCAGTTAATACTCGAGCTGTCATCATTTGTTGATATTCGGGTGTTGCATTTGGATACTACAAATATAAATTATATGAATAAATCATTTCATATAAATGAAAATAATATAATTCGCGGACTTACGTCTTTACGTATAAGCTGTTGGAGTTTTTCATAATCTGTATTAATATTTGACCACGGTAAACCGAGTTGGCCATGGTTTATCATTCCATCAGTTGGATAAGTTGGCGCAGTATACATTAGAAGCGGTGGTTTTCCTTTCTTTTCTTCTTCATACTCTAACCAAGCCTGTTTTCTTTCTTCCTCGTTCAATTCTTCCTCGGCCTGTTAACACAAAAGTTACATAAATAAAATAAATTCGTTCCTTCGTCCCAGAGTTTCAAAGTAACGGTTCATATAGAATTACTTTATTTTCCAGAAGGGAATCATGTTCATGATAATTTTCTACAAGATCTTTGTGTTTCAAAAATATTTCCGCCAATAATCTATCCTTTGGTAAGTTTAAGGTGGGTCTTCCTTCATCTGTATACGGTTCAAAATTATATAACTCGTTTAAATCATGATTTCTATAATGACGTTCGATTTGTTGCTCGTCAACAACTCTGCAAGAAAGTGACAATTTTGTTACTTGTCGGTTGTATATCTTTTCTTCCATTGTTCCAGCGGCCAAAAATCTATAAACGTAACACGGCTTCTTCTGTCCGAACCTATTAATTTGATAAAAGATTAATTATAATTATTCAATTGTCAATGAATAATTGTAAGATTTTTTACAGTTAGCCAATATAACATACCTATATACACGAAATATACTCTGTACATCGTAGGAAGGATTCCAACTTGCATCGAAAATAATTACTCGATTGGCGGCAGTTAAATTAATTCCTAAACCACCGGCGCGTGTCGATATTAAAAACAACCTTGCCCTCGTATTTGTTGGTCGATTAAATATCTTGCACCATATACTTCTGTTTTCGGCAGACGTTTGGCCATCCAATCGGAAATAATCTAAACCCAACGACCAACTATCTCTATGTCCCATATACTCTGAGCTTTCATCTTTTTGCGTTTCGTCGTCAATCTTTTTCAAAAACTTCTCGATTAAAGTTAACGAATACAAAGATTGCGAAAATACCAATCTAAAATATGTTTTATACATAATACACCTTCACTGAAAAATTTTAAAAGCTAAGAACGTCGGAAAAGGTTCACGTACACTTTATCGCCAAGTTGTTCGCATTCTTTCAGAATGGCGAAAAGAAGCACAAGTTTAGAGGAAATAGACATATCTTCGAAATCGTCTGGTTCAATGAATTGCGTCCACCATTCTTCGTCTTTTTTTTCAGTCTCCTCGGGTTCGATAACCACTGCGACGTCTACACGTGATTGTTTCATTGTGTAACTTATATTCGGTTATAAATTAATAAACATATATGTTAAAATCATACCGGGATTAGTACTTCTTGTGCTTCTTATATTTTTCGGCGCAGGATTGGACTCTGCACTGTCAGCATTCTCGTTTTCATCACTACTACTCGACGTAGTGGTGGAATCAGACTCAGAATCGTCGTTGATGAAGTCTTTTAACGAACCTTCTGAATCACTTGAAAGTTTCTTTTCGTTCATTCTTTCAACCTTCTCTGCATTCAAACGCAATACTACAGGATGCGTCCATATTCTCTGTAACGATTGAAAATCTGCGAAAAGAGATCCTTTCTCAGAACGCTGACGCCTATAAAAAAAAATATGTCCAAGAAATTAAAAAAAAGTTATTAAAATTAGTATTATAATATTATTAAAAGTTTGATCATTTTCCGTACCGACTTATATTATCCAAATAGTATCGATACATCTTCATCTGTACATCTGAGAGGCGTACAAAAATAACGTATTCCTGCTTTGGTGGTAAGAAAGGCGTCAAAACGGAATAATCGAATCTCTGTACGCAACCTTTCAACATTTTATGTAAAACGTACGCACGTTTTTTCATTAATTTAACATCGTACTCGGTAGAATCGTCGAATTGACCGTTAGTTATAGGATTTGCGAATCTGTTTAAAAATTCTCTTTTGGTTCCCAAAAGATTCGGTTTTACAAATTGTACCATACAGTGATCTGTAGAAAATTGATTCGTATCATTTAAATATATATACACATACAAATATACATGTTATTACTTGACCCTAATCAATACTCACATTCTGTTAAATTGTTTTGAAGCGGTGTTCCCGTGAGAACAATTCTCCGTAATGTTTTAATACGTTTCATAGATTTACTGAGAGCGGTATCTTCGTTTTTTAATAAATGGCCTTCGTCACAAACTATTAGATCTGGACCGGGGTCTATCAAATAGCGCAGCACTTCCTCTTTCATAGCTTTTCGCATTCTATTATTAACACCGCTGAGGTTTCGAAACATTTCGTACCCTATCAGCAGGACACCGCCTGTTCTGTACCAACTTTGTAATTGGTACTTCCTCTCTACATTCTTTTTCAATCTTTCATGGATTTATAATAAAAGATTGCAATTAATTATTCAATTATATATGTAATATATGTACTTATACACAGACAGAGGTAACTTACTTAGTTAATTCGTGAACTTCAATATCATTATCTTCAATATCTTTCAGCCATAAATTAAATTCATTGTACCAATTAAGTACCGTGCTTAAGGGGCAAACGATCATAATTGTTTTCACACCAGTTTCCTCATGTGTTAAGAGCGTATGCGATAAAGCAATTACTTGTAAACTCTTGCCTAAACCCATGCAGTGTGCAATAATACATCCAGAACCCGTAGAAGTTTTGATCTGTTCAAGGGATTCAAAGCAGGCGTCCCACATGAATTTTATTCCCTTAGCTTGATGTGGTTTTAAACGTTTCACTATGTCTGGATGAACAACCACAAGTTCTTCTTTTGTTTCAGTATTAAAATCTAATACCAATTTCTCGACTTTTTCTTCGCTGGCTAATCTCGCCTCGTACATTTGGTTATACTACATTTGAGAACAATTACAAAAACAGTAACCTTTTTATATGCAGTAAACAAATATACATCACAAAACGATACATACTAATTTTTGCCGATCAGCAATTCTTTTAATCCTCTCTTCTTCTTCCTTTGCAGCTTGTTTCGTGTTCTCTGCGACTTGCTTATCTTTCATCACTTTTCGGATATTTTTACGGCCTTTTGCGTTAGGTGTTCCTTGAGAATTGTTCATTTCGTCATCAGACGCGTCGTCACTATCTGTATCCATATTTTTGATACGTTTCCTTTTCGGCTTCACTCTGAAATTATAACAAAATTAATATTAGTATATCATTAAAAGATTCTACTGCAAATAAATTGTCCTTTTATTAAGTAACAATAAAAATGTACTTTTTTTCTGCAAGTGACGAATCTGTATCAGAAGATTTATGCACTCTTCGTTTACGTGTCTTTTTTTGCTTCTTTTTTGACGAGGAATCAGTGTCTGAAGATTTGTCATTTTCCACCGGTAAAGATTTAACGGAATCCGAGTCAGAATTTACCAATTGCACGTCGGAATCAGAATCCAAAATTTTCCGACGGGGTCTTATTTTACGTTTTATCTTGGAAGTGTTGGCATCTGAATTTTCCCTATTTGAAAAAATTTTGATAATATATTTAATATGTTTTTGGCTTACTTAAAAGCCATGCTAAATAACTCACGTCTCATTTTCTTCGGCCTTTTTTTTCAATTTTTCTTGTTTTATCTTCCACTTTGTACATTCAACTTCAGAATCTGAAGTCGAAATGTTCATCGTTAATAACTTGCTCTCTCTCCATCTACGTTTCTCTCGTTCACTTTCATCGTCCTAAGTTAGTTTCAGAAAATAATTATTTTTTCTATAGACAATAAATACTTTTCTAAATAAGACAGTAATTCATGTATATTGCAATTTTACCTCGTCACTAGTGGAAGCTTTTTTCTCTGGTTTTTTCGAAGACTTCACTGTGCTATTTTTTACTTTTTTATCTTTTTCTTCGTCGCTATGCTCATCCTGCGAAACCACGTTCTGATTTTCTAAAAGTAAATACTTTAGGTCATATTTCATTCTTTAAACTTATAAAGAATAAACTTAAAAATATATTTAATTCAAATACTTACCAACATCAGAATTTTCAAAACTTAACAGCATATTCTTTGCTTCTCTATCAGCTTCTATTATTAATTCTTCATTAGTTTGAAAATCACATTGTGTTTCCTCAGGTGTACTTTTACTGTGTCCATCAATATCTTCTTCAGAGTGATCAATTAATTTTTCGTTTTCTACTTTTTTCAAGTGATCCAAGAGTGTATCTTCTGTTGCTTTGCTTCCTTTAGATTTTTTCATAAATGAGGAACTCTGCGGCAAATCATTTTTTTTCTTGCTGTCCCGTTGGAGACTATCCAAATTAATAAGACTATAAAAGATAATAGAAACGTTATGCATAAGTAATAAGAAGAAAATATGCAATGAAAGTAATTTCAATTGAATTTAAACCTTTTAATCTGTTTAGAGTCCAAATGTTGCCGCGACTTTTCCAAAGCATCCGCATGTTTTTGAAGAATTTTTTTTGGTAAATTTTCAAGAACAACATAAGATTTCATTTCCAGCTTTTTATCAGATTTAAAATCACGTTTACTAATTACTTTCCTTCGTCTATTCTTCACCCTTTCACTAACACTGAGATCAAAGTTTCCTACAACTTCATCTGGTAAAGAATCTTGTTTACTAAGGGGTAAGGTAAGGACTTTCTGTACCTTTGAAGAAGGCACTTTTGTACATTCTAAACTATTACCATTGTCAGAATTTGAGCTTTCACTATTTGAAGAAACTACTAGTGATGCCTTTGCTTGTCTATTCTCGCTATTATCGTCAGATTCATGAGCTTTATCGTCAATTCCTTTTGTAGATGAAGAACCCATAGAATCATCTGAATTGGAGTCAAGAAGATAACGTTTAGCACGAAATTCGGAAATGTCCATTTTATACAATTCACTGTCTTCATTTACGGAAGTATCGCTTGTTACATTCGTTTCATTTTCTCTTTCAGATTTCGATTTCTCAGTTTGGATGTCGTTCATATTACCGTTAGTAGAAACTTTAGTAGGCGTTGCAGGAATGAATTCATCAGTTGAAAATGTTTCTGAATCTGTTTCCAACCATGGTTTCTTCAGTTGGTCATCATTAAGCACCTCTGATTGTGCACTGGATGATCTGTTTACATCTTTTTCAATTTTAAGCGTTGATACTGATTCATTATCATCGCTAGACGATGGTATATCTCGAGAAAGAACTGGCATTAGCACAACAGTTGTCTCTGCTGTTACGTCTGATTCACTATTGTCAAATTCCTTTAATACATTTGAATCATTATTTGAGTCAGCCACTGTCTGTATTTTTTCATTAGATTTTTTTGTTTTTAAAGTTTCTAATTTTTCAAATTCCATTTCCGTATCTCCTACAATATTATCAACTTCATCATTTTTATCAGATAATTCATCAAATATATCTTGTAAGGAGTCATTCATTTTACCTTTTTGACACCCTGCAGAATTTTCTTTGGAAGTATCAGTTACTGACTTGATTTTTGAATGTGGTTTATTGGATACTATTTTTCTTTTGTTATTACCTAAGATAGGAGATACAGCATCGTTATCTTCCAAGGATGTAACAGTTTCATTAGAACCTACTGTTTCTTTTGATACTTCAACTGGTACTGAAACTTCATTTTTTTTATTCTTTTCAATACTTATTGGAATACCTTCATTTTCAGAAAATATTTCTTTGCTATCACATTCTGAGACTATACTTTCCTCATCCTCACTACCATAAATTAAATCACGTAAACACCATTTCTTAGTCCATTCTCCAGAAAAACGCATTAGTTCATTTTCTTGTGCATTTAGTAACATTTTAAGTTTACTAATTGCATCCTTTGACTGTTTTATTATAATATTTACATATTCTTGATATGTTAATTCTTCTTTTAAATGTGTTCGTTTCACACATTCCATTTTTAATTCATATTCTGAACAAACTTCCTTAAATTTGTTTGACAGTGCAATAATCTTACATTTAGGACAAAAACATAGCTTTTCAATAGTTTTTCCATCTGTATGTTTTTCAGTACTTGATGGAGTAGATTTTTTACAACCTTGAAATTCTTTACCAGAACTTGATTCAACTTCATCTTTATGTAAATGAACACAATTTGATTGTGCAGACTTTAATGTGGTATGTCTTTTTTTAACATGTTTTTGAGATACATTGTCAGTCTCTGATCCATTACTTTCTACCTTTCCATTTTTATCTTCTTGTTCCTTTGCATCATTACTAATGTCTGTTTTCTCTCTTTTATTGCTTCCATGATTCTTAGACTTCAGTGACTCTTTCACAGATACCTTACACTTTTCATTGGACATTTTCTTTCTTTCCAATTCTAAGTTATTATTTGAAAGTAATTGTATATTTTCTACTGAACTATCCTTATTATGTTTTAATCCTAATCTTTTATGTTTAGCATGTTCTTTAACTTGTTTTGAGGAATCTTTTGTGTTAGTCTTCTGCAAATTAAAATCAGCTAGCTGAACAGATTCGCTATCTTCACTAGAACTACTATCATCGCATAATGAACGAATTGATTCCCTAATTTTTTTTGATTTTTCAAATTTACGCTTTGTTGTTGGCCAAACATATCTCCGATTCTTATAACATATTTGTTCCGAATTTTCTTCTGTTTTATTTACTCTGACATTAATTAAATATAAATTTTAATACAGTACCTCTAGAGATCAATATATGTAGTTTTTTATGATTACTTACTTTGAAGAGGACATAGTAGCTGCGCAAATATTCTTAATGTGTCCCGTTTCTAATTAAATATGGAATATGCTAACTCTTTGGCTTCGAAGGCCCAGACCAGTAAAATTTACATTATGGTTTATATATGTCTGAAAATAACATTTTCTTGTAAAGATTTATATAATTTCCAGTGGATTATCTTCTTAATTATATAATTAAGTATACAGCTAAAATTAATTAAATTTAATGTTTAAAGGATTAGAAAATAAATAGACAATTTGATACTATTAACGCTTCATTACTTTTTTATGATTATAGTTATAAAGCAATCAAACTTACTATAATATAGTTGTGCCACGAAAATTTGTTCTTACTGTAGTATTTTCAATATACCTGTAACAAGTATGACAAATGTTTGATAAAGTAAATAATAATATTATTGTATGCTGTGTGATAAAATAAATAATAATAATTTTACATTAAAATTTATGAATATAACAAGTAAACATTTATACAATATATAATTGAAATCTCTAACGTCGTTTATACATAAAATATTAATTATATTTGTTATGGTTGAAATATGCTTGATTTTATGTTTATTTAGGGATCTCTTTATTATGACGTTGTAGAACCTATATTATTCGTTCGTCTGGTACGTATTTTCGGAGTACGTTGTAATTTCTACATAATAATGAAACTTCTTTTAAAACCTTTTCGTACACAGAATCCTCCACTTTGTAGTATTTATGGCAGTCATTTAATAAATTCATTCACAAAATATTAAAAATAATAAAAAGAAATATTTTATTTCATTGTAAGTTACTACTCCAAAACATAACTTGATATTATTTAAAATAGTTACATTGTAAATTGACTATTATACAAGGTAACAAACTTAACAACAAGTTGACAAAGGAAACGTGTACAATTAAACAAACCTGCGCTTAGTTGAAAACAGTCCTGAGCTCAGTCAAAACTTTTCTTCTTAACTAAGTTTCTTTTCCTCGCTATCAAGTAAACTAGTGCTGCCCTCTGGCAATAACATGTTCAACTAAATTCAAAAATTGAATACATATAATAAAGGAGTTTTTAAAAATGACGGTATATAACTGAAAATGTTTAAACATTTCTAATAAGGTGTATAAAATTACATACACGATAATGTTCTTCAAACATCATTTAACTGTTTAATCGATAAGTCATTTGTGGGTAATAATGTGTATTATAAAACGAAAATACAATTTTACAAATTACTTGACATTTTAAAAATAGTATATCACATATGAAATATTTACAGCTATGTTAATGTATGTAAGTACATACATTAAGATTCTTCGGTAAGGGCTTCCAGTTGTCGATCATCTGATATTTCTGAAGCACAAATCCCTTGTCTAGACAAACTTTTCCCTAAAGAAACAGAAGACTTTGAACCTAATACTCGATTCTCTTGATGTGCAGGTATATCACAAAAAAGGCATCTCGTTTTCTCAAACACTTGATCCAAACAAGGATGAAACATTAAGCCACAAACTCGACATACTCTATAATGTATTCCAGTTATTTGCAATAAAGTAATAGCACACCTAGGTAGTATATGACCCTGTGAACATTTAGTAATTTTCCAAGATAGATCATTTATTACTTCGCCACATAAATTACAAGATTCTACTTTATTTGTATCGAATTGCGAAATTTTTTGTAGAACATCTCCAGCACGTTTGGCAAGCGGAGTAACTTCTTCATTTTCTTCTCCTGCTAAATAAACTTCCAAGTACATTTTTAGTAAATATATAGAGAGCTTTTGTTCTTGGCTCAAAGGTGAACTATCACTCAATTGCTCGAGGTAATTACAAACTGTATAAACGAAAATTAAAGGTTGCGCTTCTGATACTTCTCCCGTAATACTTCCTATGCCTTGAATTACTTTCTTCTTCTCACAGATTTCTATCATTATAGATATCCACATTGCCATTCGTAACTCATTCAAAGATAAAGATTCCATATTAGATGGTATTTTTGGTAATATGGATGAAAGGTCTTCCGCTTTTGTTGCCTTCAACCTGATTACTTCTAAACAGTCCCATAAAAGTTCAAACCTTTTTTCTCTATTGTTATTTAAAATGAGTAACGGATTCCAATTTTCGTTCTTTAAAATAAAGAAATGAATTTTACTGGGTTCTTTGTTTACTAGATGATCGTATACAGTATTTGGAGAAGTTACATTTACAAAAATTGCATGGCTTAAGGAATGAGCAAGACCCAAATAACGTACATTAGTTTGTTGTAATGTATTCTTTATGCTGATTTTCGAAAAATTGTTCTTTTGTATATCAATTGCAAACATTAAACTATTTTCTATTGTAACTAATGCATAATCGATATTCGCGGAAATTAATCCTAAAAATAATTAATTTTATTATATTGATGAAAAGAGTTTTTATAATTTATATACAAAACAATAATAATGTTCTTTTTTTACCTGAGATCGTAAATCCTTCTAATTGCAAGTGTTGTATATTTTTCAATGTTCCATTTGTTGTTAAATGCAACAGAAACAGAAAACTGCCTTTTGAAATAAGAATTTTTGTAGATAGATCAGTTTGTGGAAATGTTTTTATAGTACCAACAGGTATACGGTCTGCATAATCATAATATTTGTCAATTGATTTAAATTCAACTAGTTGATCAGGATTTTCCATTGTAAGACCATGAATACGTCCATCAAAATATGCTAGAACAATTACATATTTTGTTGCATTGATAGTAATCCAATGCAAAGCATTTATTTTGACATGTTCGTTCAAACACACTGTGCCCATAATTTTAATAGATGGTATTTCGCTGCAATATGTGATAATTGGAACTTTATAAATAATTATATCCCCATTACGATAAGCAACAGTAAGGTATGCAAAATCTCCCAAGAGGCTACTCCAAGTCATACATGAAGCTTGTAGCGCTTGAACACAGTTCTTGAGTGTTAAAAATGAAGTAGAATGGTTTGTCATATCCTTCAGCTTTGTAGTAATTTCATCTTCTATAATATTGTAACGTATAGAACTCAAATCATATATAGGATACCAATCTGTGGAAATTTTATGAGCAATCAAGACAGCCCCTGTTGAAGTCAATATCGCAAGAAGGCATTTGTTTGGAAATAGTAAGTTCCGTGGTGACCATGCTAATTCCAATATTTTCGGCATCATCTCTTTAACATTAGATATTTTTGGAGTCAAACTTTCTTCCATTATAAATGAGTAAATTTCTTCACGATGCATACTCCAGATTTTAGACTCTATTTTATTCATTATAGGTTCCGTGGGAAAAATCAACGGTGCATAAATAAAAGATCTTGAAAATTTTATGGTTGAATAAGGAGACATTGGATTAGGTACAAATTCCTGTATGGAATCATAATATAAAATATATTCTTTTCATTTTATAAATCTTTTTATGAAATAACGTAATATATATCGATATATAAGTATACGAAATAAATAAGAAACATTGTTAACATTAAACTTACAAATACATGAATTCCTTTCTCATTAAGAATTGATATATGATTGTCTTCAGACCATTGAACTGCAAACCTTGATATAATGGGTGGAGTGATTGTAAGGCTATAAACTTCTTCTGTCTCCATTATTTATATTACACAATTATTCGTTAATCTTTACATTCATCCATATATTCCCAATATGTATTCTTAAAACGAAATTTTGTTAAATAATAACAATTATTTAATATAAACATTCTGATCATTCGTTTTTGTAATATTCATCAAATATGTAAGACTTTTCCAGAAGCTATTCTCCCAATTTTAATGTGATATCTGAATTTAATTATATAACCAGAAAAATGAATCTTTCAAAAATATATAATTCTCTCTTTGGAAGCTTTAATACAGATATGAATATAAGTATGCTAAATAATTTATGTGCTAATCCTAATACATACCAGATAGCTTTACAATTAACCTATCAGCTATAACTATTTTCATATTCGTACGAAACAAAATATTATTACATACATGCATATTTAATTGACAACATAGAATTCTATTTCTTACACAATCTATATTGATTAAGTACAAATGAGATCAAATCGTATATAAATATATATATATTTTAGTATACATGCAGTTGATTAAACCGGAGCGATTCGAACGGGCGTCCATCTGTAGAATCAAATGAAATGTGACATTCCCCCCGTAACGTCACGAAACCTCGGGAGATTCGGCGAGACGTTACAAAGCAGTGGAACCTGTTTCAGATTCGCCTTCGTTAGCTGTCACTCGTCGGCTATTCTTCTTTCTCGAAAGTTTGTCGAAGACCTGAGATAGAAATGTATACAAATTAAATACATTTATCAGTCTATAAATACGAATTTTAACCGATTTAAAATTATTACAGCATATTACTACCCTAAACAGAGTAGAAAGGGAAAAAGATCTTTGCCGCACGACGAAAAATTGAAATTATCAGCATTAAGATGGATTTTTGTTATTGACTGCCGCAGTAAGAGCGTAGTTCCTCCATGGAGCACGATCCTAGGCAACACTCCTCGCGTATACCTCGTGAAAGTCTCCGAACCTTCAGCATTTTCTTCGCATTCTCGATCGATTTGTAGGGATGAAAATCATTGCTAGATAAAGAGCCTTTCTTCTCCGTTTCTAGAAAAAGGGCGGATCTTTCATGCGAGAATAAAAAAAAAATTATTTAACAATAGAACTACCGAACAGTCAAAATTACAGTAATTTTCTTCTAAAAATTATAAGAGTACCCTTTTTCAAAGTTACCCATCACTTTTATTGCTATATGTATGTAGATACACGAATGGATTAACCCCTCGACTACTGTTGGCGCCAATAGGTGCTATTAAAATTTTATCGACGATAATCGCAGCGAAGCTCGTTTAAACCAGACGTAAGTGAATTCTAATTCGACAATCACATTTTCCTCTAGTTATATATTACATATAAATATGACTATTTTATATTGGTTTAATTTACTTCAATTCAGTGTTTCGATGGTTTCAATAGATTCTCTTAAAAATCCGGAAAACTCTAACGCAAAATTCTTCCGTAGCCAAGGGATTCAATTATTCCATAACTTTCCGTGAAGATACTTTGGTAATTTAGATAATCGTGTGTAAATCAAAAAAATGAGATTCGCCATTTTGGTCCGTCTGGTAGTTCTATTATCGAATCGATGAAGATTCCAGTACCTTGGTCATTTCTTTTGAATCTAGCATAGTAAACGCTATCGCAGATTTTCTGTAAAGCGCTCGTAAGCCTGTCACCGCAATAATGACGCGCTTCGCTGTTGTTAGCTTGCCGATTTCGTCTGTTATGAAACACGTCCGATTGCGTGTGTTTCGTCTTTGACGTTAAGGTTGCTACGACGAGTACCAAACCGACGAGAACGTGTAATCGGTATGCGAGCATCTCAAAATCCAAGTAACGTTGTTAAAACCAACCTACGTGAAACATGTTTATCAACCGTTTAAAATCGAATACAATGCGATATAACAATATATTGTCGTTAATCACACTAGCGGGAAAATTAATAATGGCGCGTGGTTCGAACGGTCAAACCAACGCGACATCTATTTCCACCATTGGCACTTTTTTCAAAGTACATGTACTATTTCGTGTTTTCAAACTAAGGGCAGAAACTTCAAATAATAAATTAGAAATATAAAATATTACACTTTTACATGTACGTTAGACTCCAATAGTAATGGAATCGTTCAACGTGACTACTTAAATCACTTTCATAAACTTTTATCGAGACTTATCAATAATGATACCCCATGCTGTCGCGTACCACTTGACGAGTGCAACTTATTTTTAGATATCATTTCTTTAAATATACATAAATACATATTGCGCTGCAACCTCGCGACGAGGGTTTGCGAGAAAACTCAAAATGATTTACAGAGATTCCGAGAGTATTTCGTCGTCTGCATTCGGTTTTGTACTATTTTATTTAAGAAATACATTCCGGAAATTAGGACCCCCACAGGAAATCGGTCGTACGACTAAGAATCCGAATAACATTATTTCACCTTTTTTTCTTTTAATTAGATTCATTTCCCTGGAATTTTTCCTCGCAATTACGTTCGCTTCGCATTGATAAGCATCGATAAATGAAAGAAACGCAACTGTTTACTCTCGTAAGCAGACAAGAAGCGCCAGTAGTCAGTTATTTTCAACGCGAATGTATAAATAGAGATCTAGGTGGAAAAACTCGTACGAGATACCGACAATACACTCGTCTATGTGATGTTAATAGAACTTCGCTGCGTGATTCACGAGCAACGATAACACATAATCTTAATATAACTTTGTCTGCTAAATATGATCATCGTGTAACGAACACTTCCTTGATTTTATAGGTAGCAATTGTCTAACGACAATTACATTTTTTAAATGATTTCACTTTCCGTTCATGCAACAGAATAAATGTCTACTATAAAAGAAAATATATAAAAGAATCGCTTAGCAATATAAATCGTTAAAACAAAGATCAACAAAATATACATGTAAATATGAAATATGTATACAGCCTAGTATTTTTCTTTCCTTTTTTTATATCTGAATCGTTACATTAATCGAGGAATAACATTCCAAGCAGTCTAATTTTCGAGAAGTAGAAAAAAAGGAGAGACAACTATACGATAAATTGATATATGCTTTTTCCTCGCGTGTATTCATTGGCGCAGCGTACGTTTCGAAGGAGAACGCGAGATGTGTAATAATCTGGTTGATAATTGATACATACACGAAAACAATGTTAAAGCGCCGCGAGTATTGATCTTTTTTCGTGTGCCGTCTATTTTGATAAGATTTTCAATTATACACCAGAATTGAAAACAAATGCATCGAAGACGATAAGAGAATCGTAAAAAAACACCGATAAAAGTAAATTAATAATTTAAACGATAAGAAATTATGTTTATAAACGATGGTCAACGGTATTCCTATTTTTCGCTATTTTTCCAAGGATTGC